GACGCATCGAACGGTTGCATTCCATACTAGACCATTCAGAACGGTTGCATTCTAAACCAAACCGTCCAGAACGGTTGCATTCCACCCGAGACGTTCAGGATTCTTGAGTTCTACCGGAAATCGCGTACAACGGTATAAATTTCTAATTCGAAAAGCTATCACTGATCAGAAGTTCATTTCTAATTTCCTTATCAAGTGAGCAGTGTGATGAACTGAGCAATGAACGTTCAGTTCATGAATTCAGATATCTGCTAAAGTTGTCGAAACATTATTTCTTTTCAATTTTTTTACAAAACTGACACAATGATGAAGAAGAAAGAGAATCTTGCTGACGGTCTCAACTTGCTTACTAAACCGACGGCAATAAACTTTACACTTGTTGAGATAGGCTATCTGACTTTTAACTCATAGACAATCTTGAAAACTGAGCATTGATGATTTATTAAGTTAAATAAGACAACAATCAAAATATATTACAAAGATTTTGACACACTTGTAATGGAAATTTGAGATAAAGCTCTGGTACATGCACCTTTCCGTATGCTTGATTCACTGCCTTATGATATTGTAAATGAATGAGTCTTCTGCGAAAACGTCAAAGATGTTAAACAACTCCATATCTTCCCTCATTCGAGTTGTTTGATGCTATAACCGATTTCATTTTTGAAATGAAAACAAAGACTCACTAAAACACAGGTAAAAAGACACATGATGTCACCAATTCTCTCTGCATAATTGTCCAACTTGTTATATCTGTAGAAAGCACCTTATAAGAAGCTAACAAACTGCTTACTTGTACAATAAGTGCAACTGCTGGAAGACTTTGCCTCGACACTCGCGTATGAAGTTGGATACTTCAGGTGAACAGTTGTCAATATCTAGAAAGTTCATTTAGAAATCCCTATATATTTATCAGCTTCTTACTTGGATTCCATAATAACAAAGCAATGACGGCTCCCAACTCCTCCTCTGTTATTGAAATCTCTTTCATATAAATTAATGCTTTGAGTTTTGGACCATTTAAGGATTGTTTCATCATTCTTAAAACGTTTCCAGTTATGAATTGTTATCTACAAGGAAACTTACGAAACCAAGTTGGACTTTGATGTTTTCGTTGTAGGAGCGTCTGCGAGAAACAAATCAAGGTTCTCTAAATCTATGTAAGTTGTCTCAGTGATCATATACCTAAACGGAATTATTTCTGAAACTGGTACTTCCACTTACTTTGAAAAGTTGTCTATACGGTTCTCTGAGTACAGCTTATATGTTCTATATGCACCGTCTATTGTCCATAAATTAGGAAGGAAAGCGTGAAATATATTTCTCTGTAAAGGTAAGAAAGCTTATTAAGAAAATCAGACAAAGCGAGCCACACCTTGTCATCTCCTTCTAAACTTCTAAAATCATCGAAAGTATCCATTACGAAACCGGATATGGAGGGCATATGTTTACGGTAAAACTGCGTGCACTTCCTCGTCGTTGCCGGTGTGAACTTCTGCAGAACATTCCATTTTACTTTAGTCTGGTTACTGAACAACCTCACTATCCATTTCTTGGGAGAAAAAATCTTTGATGGATTCTGGATTCATCGATAATTCTATTCCTCTCCTCACCGCGCATAAGTTCCTGAATTACCAGGTGAACGCTGATATAACACTAAAATGAACCACCTGTATCCATCTCGGATCTTAATAAGCAAGCTAGGTTCATCAACGTTGCATTTCAACGGAGGGTAAGAGGGAAAGTTGACTGAAGGTGTATTTACGAATAAATTTCTCTGCAACAGTCGTTCAAAAAAAGAACTAATCAGCATGAAAACTTACAGCTGATTCATTTTCTGAAGGACTTGGAGAAGTTATGGCCATGTCCGTAGCAGATGAAGATGCGATTTGATGGAAATTGTTTTCGTCCTGCCTTCGAGGAATGATAGGATCACGACGATTTTGTACATCTGAAGCAAGAATGGGAATGCAACAGATCTAAATGTTCTGGGAAGAATAAAACAAAGCTAAGAGAAAAAAGGAGAAAGTGATACAAAAGGGTTCTTACTTTCAGGTAACATTCCGGCTTCCAAGCATTTTCTCATTCTGCATTTACGGCACATACATCTTACAGCTGTAAAAGAGATGACATGATGTTTCTGGAACTATTAACTTACATTTATTTATCACACAGTTATTTCCACCCTGTCGACAAACATATGTTTTGGACATAACAACAGATCTTCTAAAAAAGGCAGCACATGCGCGACATGAATCAATTCCAAAGTGAGCTCCATCGCTTCGATCAGAACAAACTCGGCACTCTCGTACTTCTCTGAGAAAATGAGGGAAATAAGTTGCGATATTAATATAAATAGAAGATAATCACTTTTGGGCATTAAAATTGGTGGGAATTATAGCTTCATCTAGTAACTGGTACTTCGTGTCTTTATAGTAATTGTTATACATTTCCTCATCGTCTTCATTATCATACTCAGCTATCAAGGCATCGTCTGCAGTTGACAAGAAAGTTGTCATTTAGATTACCGAAAAGGAATAATTTCTCAAACAGCCTGAATCACAAGTTTAATAACTGGCTTGCTTGGATAATGCAAAAAGAAAGAAATGAAACAGAAATATTGAGTGAAAGACATATGTCTATCATGGCTCAGATATGAACAAAGATTTCATATGTAATTAGATTAAGAGAGCTTCAGTTCGTAATGAAATGAAGGAGGTGAGAATGAGGAAGATTAAAATTCAAATATTAGATGATTGTACTTCTACTCCTAAAGAGACATGCTTATCTCTCTAAGCTTTATAACCAGCGACTATTCATTTTATTATTGTAGTTTGTCGTTTGACCACTGATGGGTTGAGATAGTAAAAATCAAAGAAGACTATCGACTCTTGACAAGATACAAGATCACTGTTCATGACTATTTTGTTTGGAGCTGTTATCAACATATGAGTTCATCATCAATGCTGATGCTGATAGTTGACCGTCTAAAGCTCAACATTATGATTTTGAAAGAACACAGCATGAACGCTAACTGATAGCAATCTGAAGAAGAACTGGGAAGTGAAGAGTGAAGGGCCAAAAAATGATCAAAGAGGATGACAAGAACATGTACGAGGAGAGCAGAAAACAGTAATAATATTGATAGAAAGGAACTATCAAGTGATTTCTGATCATTACTCTTCATTATTCATATGATGATAATTGCCAAAGGACGACTTTACTCTGCTTAAACCACATTTTTCTTCAACCGATTGTCAACTCAACTATTTCAATCAATGGCCAAACTAGAGTATTGTGTGGTTTTAAAAGATTTGGGGGACTAAACCAAAATCCGATTGAACTCGCACACCGACATGTAACCCTTCGTGATTATCTTCTATTTATAGTTAGATTACGTACTCTTTTTTTGGAGTAATATAAGTTGATGCTGGGGAATACGTTGAATCTTCGCATGGTGAACATGAAGCTTCGCTTGCCAAGCACGCCATGTTTGATTCAATGAGCTTTATGCTTCAAATAAATGGTAAAGGGGAATCGCTATTGCAGTAAATCTAAAACAATGTATGTTTAAATAACAAAACTAAATCTGAATGCGAGAGAAAGAGAGAGAGAGATAGAGAGAGAGAGAGCTCACAAGAAAATCAAACGCTTGCTTGGCTTTGTAGGATAAACCATGGCAACCGCGAAAAGAGAAAAGGGAAAGAAAATCATACGTTTGGTCGGAATTGACCAATTTGCTATGAACAAATTCCCTCATAAATTTCAACTGATGAATTAAATAGAAGTTATTGATATAAGCTTGTTTCCTTATATATATAAATATATAAATATGTATATATGGAAGCAACAACTCTTACAAACAATTAATGGAGGATAATCAATGGAATGGAGAATGTGATAATAGGAGAGAATCGATTGTGTGTGGATCACCCAGCTAATTTGTTTGATAGACGAAACATTGGGTTTTTGATAATAGAAGGGAAGAAAACAGCAATCTATTTGAAGAGACATAAGACTAGGCATGCAGAGAGGAGCGAGAGAACATACTTAATATGGATGACAGAGGAGACAGACTCAGAAATTGATCAAAACTAGAAAATATAATGATAGGCTGAGAGAAGGGAATAAAGATATGAGTGCAAAGAAACTTTATCGAACTCTCTGAACTTCCATCACAGGCAGGCCGTCTTTTGATAAACACAACCACACTATAGTTTCGACGTCAGGCATCAGTCTCTCTTCCAAATAAGTCCTTCTTAAGTCTTCACCGATTGAAGAAGAAACAGTCGTTTTACAGCTCGTGTTCTCAAGACAACCCAATAATACAGAAATTACGAGAACTCTTTCCAACGCAACGATTTAATGGAAGAAATTAAGTACAAGCGATAACGAATTCAGGAAAAAAACGAAGTCGGACTTTCCTAAGTTTTAATAAATCAAAGAACGTTTTTCAATCACCTGAATACGCAAGAATTATAGTTATGGCAACAGAGAGAAGGGGAACGAGGCGATGTATTTGAAGAAAACGATGCGTTTTTACGTGAAGTATATATTTGAAAAGCTAGTGAAAGGACAAACATATGTAAGCATTCCCGATGTGTTTGAAAGCTTTTCTGATCTTTCGGACTCTTTCAAAACAATAAGAAGCAAATAAGAAAATATGCAAATATCTCTCAACGTGCCGAAGTCATTTCTTTAGAGCATGCACTGTGTAGCGGTTGGTTCTTTACCTCCTTAATCGTAAGTAACATCACTAGAGATGATGTTCCAAACATGTTTTGGCACCTTTTATGTACTCCGGTGGGTGAAACACAGACATCATATGATTATGGAGAACACGCTATGGTTTATAAGATTTCATAAATTGTAATGCGCATAAAGATGATAGAGAAAACAATTTCTTATGCTTTACAGGTGATGTCATGCGTTAGTCAAAACATAATTCTTATCACTTTGATGCTGATCATACCTAGCAGACGGCAAAACAGAACTCAACACGTATCAAATTATCAACGAAACTTCTTACGAAATACGAGAGAAAGTATATGGAATATGTTTCCAAATCTATTTGTACAAAGCACAATGAACACAAGACAGCAGTGAGCAATGAAAGAGTGAAATCACCGTTCAAAACATAAGAATGATTTGAATATATTTCCAAAGTTGAAAAATCTTGCTGAAACATGGGTGATGGAAGTTTAACTAGTGGCAAGAAACATCTTTCATAGACCGGTCCACGAGAACTTTTGCTGACAATAACCAAATCAAACAGAAACTAACGAGACTGTGAACAAGAGCCAGACGGGCAGAGAGAAGAGAATGATAAAACGAGAAAGAAAAGTGAGAGAATGCTCCAACAATGTGAGTAGAGGAACTACGTATTCTGAGAAGAGGAAGTCAAGAAACGAGAGAAGACACGAAAGAATAGCTCGAGCTCGAAGAAGACAAGAGGTTAACTCAAAGTGTGCTTGGCCAGACATTAACTTTTGTTCTACCTGTCTATACCACAATAGGCTGCCATAAGCGATCAGGTCGATAGAGATTATAGAAGACTGCAGATGAGCGAGTTTGGAAGAAAAACAACGCACCTTTTCATCATTGTTGCTTGTTGTAACGTCACTATTATGATGGAACATAACTTTACACAGACAACGACTGCATTTATCTAAAATAAGTACATTACTTTCATCAATTATAAAAATTAACTCACTTTACGATAAGAGAGAGCATTGATTCGAAAATGTGTTATCGATTGATATTTGTAGCTTGCTCGAGAAACGGTAATAAACCATTTTTCTGTAAACTCTCGTGATGATCGGTTGCATTTTTTTCCCCTGAACTCGACAGTAGAGAAACAGGCAAATCATCTTCTCTCTAATATTTTCTGTTTGCAGAAATATGTTTTGATCTAGGACAATGAATACAGATGAAAAAAGCCGAGAAAAACTTCGAAAGTTCATCTATTTCACTTGACACTCAGCAATTCTAACACAATTTACGATAATTTCAATAAGACGCCAACCATTAGAACCCCTACATGCTCAACCAGTGTTAGCCATCACTTAGCTTCTGCTTCTCTCTAAAACACTTTAGATAATTAGGATTTGGAATATTCTCCTACTCTCAGCTCAGTTATCAACATCTAATCTTATCGTTTGGAGGCAATCAGAGAGGTCTTCCATTTCCGTTATTACTGTATGGAAGTTTTTATTCCTTAACTTTCATTTGATAAGCAAGTACCATTAGTAATCATCATCCAAATAAGGGACTACATCTCTCTGCTTACATCCTGACACTTGAAGACACATCTTGAATACCAGATGATTAACAATTGACCGTGAAGAACTATGTATTTCATTTTCCTCAGGAGCTGCTGTTATTACATTCATCTCGACAGCAATGAATATGTGAGCTAGTCTACCATATGAGCCGAGTTATTTTTTCACTCGGTGTTCTTCCACCCTTCAATACTTCGAACGGAAAGTATTAGAAGTATCTGAACAAATCTTTCTATGCACACGATGATATGTCTGATACAGGAAGATATAAGTTGGCGGAGTAGTTTCTATGGAGCTACAATTGAATTCTTATATATTTCAGAAGTCATGCATGAAGTTAATAAAGAATTTCTGAGAGGTAATCATCTCCGTTGAAAGTAAATTGGAACATGAATTCAGTATTATATTATTAATATTTCACATATCAATCGAATCAAGCATGAAATCTTTCGCTACATCAGTTCATGGAGATTTTCTAGACAGTGGAATGAAAGAGTTCGAAATCATCTCTGTAAATGTGCTTCAGTTTGTTTTTCAAATCTTTTGCGGAATAAAGAATGTATGATATATTCCGTTCGATCGGGGAGATCTTGCCAGAACTATCTGGAAAGATAATGTGTGAAACAGGAGTGAAGATAGCTTCGGTACAATTCACCAAATTATTGAACTCATCGATCAAGCTTGAATTAACTCCGGAACCCAAAAGTATGCTCTCTACTTGCGACGGTATCGCATGTTCTTCTGTCTTATCTTGTAATCTAATGAAAGTAGTCATTTCATACGTGTTCATCAGTCCGCAATTCCTATAAGTTTAAGAAGAAATTATTTCCCGACCTCTTTGTTTACCAGGACTGAGGAGAGAAGTATACTTTCTCGAGACTATATATCGAGTTACTTTCGGTCCCATCATTCCATTTCTTCAATGCAGATGGCAATTTATTAATTACACAAGCGATATCACTCCCGCAACCAAAACATATCTGCGGATGTTGTTGTATATTTCTGGAATGTGAAATCAAAAAGTACTTTCTCAAACTTTTTCATACTCTAAACACAGCCTACGGAAGGCTTGGGCAAACCTTCGGAACGGCTCTTCAATTAAAAATAAGATGTTGACACCACCAGGAATCTTGAGAAAAATATCGGCTGTAGCAAGCATTTCAGACTTCCCGATGCAATCACTTGAGGTCAAAAAATTGTTTCAAAAAACAAATCTTATTACTTGTTGAAACTCTCATGTAGTGATTCATTCTTGTGAGAATGGAAAAGCTGAGAGAAACAGAAGAAATTGAGTAAAGTGGTGGTTGCACTGGTTTCGCTTTGACATAAGGCCAGCCGTTCGATTGGTAAAAGCTGAAATCACTTTGTTATGCTCAAGATACTTGCGCTTACTGTAAACTTTGCATGAACAGAAGGGATCCAACGTTCGCTTATGTAATACTGCACATTATCTCGAACTACTCGAGTGTACGAGTCAGGTTTGTAAGTAGCGAGTGGTTGTTCCAACGGTTTTGGTTCTACAGTAAGATGAGATGAATAATAACCAGAGATAGCACACTAACCTGTATAAGTTATTTGTTTCGTGAGAACATCTATGAGTATCAAGAAACACAGAATAACACAAATAGATATCAACATTGCCAACAAATTTGTTTTTCTCACTTGATGACTGATCGTGTTCATTATGGTCTTCGTTGGACAGCACTTTTGTCGTCCACACAGACGTGCCATGTTTCAGCAAGGAGTTTCAAAATGACAGAAAATTGGTAACTGACCAGAGGGATGCAAATGTGCAATCTATTCAAATAATGCAGTTTCTCGAAATGGTTTATTCACTCGGGACGCTTGTGAATCAATTTCATGGTTGCAGAACTAAGACAAATCATTGAACCGATTCTAGAAGAACTCAGGCAGGAATAATGATCGAGTCTTCTTATTTGTTGTCCGAAAATCAAAATTGTAACGAAAAATAGAACAATTTTTCCACTCCTGTTCAATTGTAAATAAAAAAAATTAACATACTTGTTTTCCACGTGGGATTTGAGGCTAGCGATCCACGTCATTTTTCACAATTTATTTTTCATCTCGTCAGCGCTAGATATCGGTTGTGTACAACTACCTAAACCTTTATGCCGGGTAACAAACATTTTTCCAAAAAAAAATTGTCTCAATTCCCCCTGTTGACTGAATGCCAGAAAAGCTCCTTCTTCTAGCTCCACTGAAATCGCGCTATTGTGTGTTCCGTCAAAAATATTCTCTAAACCATTTTCATATATCTCAGCTTATCGCAAACAATCAAATGAAAGCCGATTAACCTGAGTTGACATGAGTTTATGAATAAGTCATTTGACAAAATTATGACGATGATGACGATAATACCGGATACAGCTAGCCTTCAGAAGACAAGACAAGCCACAAATTATTTCAAAGACCGCCCTCCATCCGAAGGTGGTTGAATTCCTGTATTCTAAAAGCACACCCCTCCCTCTACCACCTCAGTGCTAATTCTCAATCTATGCTTGCCTTAATTTCTAACGCTCGCTTTAAAGAATAAATTTGCTTGTACTTACCATAGAACCTATGCGTGCATTAAGCCACATGACTAGAGTAGCAGGCAAAAGCACTGAAAATCTTTTGAAAAGGAAAACATTTCCCCAAAACCATAGAAAAACATTAGTTTCCCTTAGAGGTGCCTAGTGTACAAATGTTCTTGGACTTGACTGTTTCCACAGGTTACCCCATATTACGCATTTTGCTTCCTTCTATTATTTTTCTTAAAAGTTTATCGAGTGAGTTGGACCAACCCCACTAACTGCTATTCACTAAGGTTGCGCATGTTGCAACGGACCATAGTATAGCTGCATGAGTCTGAAACTAAGATCTTACTTTTCATGAAGCTATTCCAGAATCCTAAGACTTATTATGGCCATCAGCTCATAAACAATCTCTTTACCTCAGCATGGCTGTCATTGGTGTTTTTCCTTCTATTTATTTCATCGTTTTCATTCCAAATCATTTTCTCAAGAAACACTATTTCTCTCAGGTTACCTAGCCTATTGCTATAAGCACTCATATTTACATGTTTCAATCCAAGTTATACGACCCTATAGAACGATGCAATTTCTATCTTTTTCGTTCTATAAATTCAAATCAGTCAGCTCTCGCTCACTCATTGAAATTGTCCTTCAACTTTCTGTGGCTGTTCGTCTCATACCTATACTTAGGCTGCTTTGACTAAGAAATTTAAACTTTTTAAAAGATGTAAGGTAACCTTTACATCGATCGTTCAAACTTGTTCTATCGCAACCTCTTCTTGACCGCTCATTGGCTTTCTAAAGAGCTTATACAACTCAGTTTTCTAACCTTTATTCTCTGTGTTCACTTCCTGTTTTCTTTAATAAACTTATTTCTCTTTGATTACTGAGTTGGTTCTGAAAAAAACACATAATAACTTTTAATTTTAGTTGTTTCCACCACGATTGCCGAACTGGATTCATTAATTTGGCTTATTCTAGTGCCTCTTGCTCTCTTGTTGCCGACCTTTCTTTTTTTAGCCTACAAACTCTGGATTAAAATAAACACAAACTTCAAGAGGTTGTCCAGAGCCTAGCATCCTGAAAATTCAAAAAGCGATTCAGAAAATCGAAAATATCTGCCGAGAATTCTGCAGAAATGGGTAGCGTTGTAGCGCGATACCGAAATTCTATACCGAACATCGAGGAAATCCGTAAGTATTTTTACAAAATAAAAATTGACAACTAATTGAGCATCTTTTTATCAAACTAGAGTATGATTTTTACCGTATCAGAGCAGAAAATGTAATGATCGGAAGTTAATGACTTCATATTTTGAATGGACGGAGTATCCGTTGTCATATTCTAAGCCTGACCTCAGTAAACTCGAATCCATAAAAACGTAATAATTGGCCTGGCAATTTGCAATAGAGATTGAACTCAAAATAAGAGTTGTACATCCAGACTAACAGATGGATATACCTCCCTCTCTGTCTTTCATACCTCATATAAAGGACATGATGTCAAGCTTAACATCCGGATCTCCCCCCTTTCAAGCATTTAGCCTATGAACTTGAAACACATAATCTATGAAGCCCTTCAATTGCAAAAAAAACTAAAGAATTGAGGGTGGAAGAATTAAAGGACCAACCGCTCACGACGCATGCACAACAAAAAATGAAAAAAGCGCGCTGTACTCAATATTTACGTATTCCATTACAGATGCCCAAATTACACCAAGCAGCGAGCACAAGAAAATATCAACGGAGCAGTCCACGGAATCCATAGACAGTGAGAGTAAGTCAAGAAAAAGTCTACATAGCTCATGCTTGTTTCAGATAAAATAAATTTAACCCCCGGCGCGCCATCTAGTAGGAGAATATCCGCCTGTTGCTTACATGAGCTCAAGCTAATGGACATCGGGCCTCTGCCTTACGACCACTCTCTGATAGAAGAAGAAAGACAGCGTGAAATCGAAAAAAAATTGAAAAACGATATCTAAAGGAACCCTTCAAGACTTGTATAAAAACAATTAACTTTATCTGACTTTTAATGAACGTTTGTGCACTACCTCATAAGAATGTTTTATTTAGACGAAACAGTCCGGAACAATAAGTAAAAGCTTGATGAAACAAGAGACCATAATTAAAACTTATCAGATATGTTGTGTGAGAACAAATACAACCGGCAAGGTAGATTCGAGACCAACGTTTAAACCCGACCCATTGACTTTGGGTTAACAAATTGAGTTTGAACACAGAAGAATAAGTCCAATAGCTGCAGGAACTCATTCGCACCATTGATTAATCGCATTTCGCAAACCTAAATTTAAGGAAGATTTTTAGAGCCAATATACAATAACTACTCACAGACATCTTCTCGAAAATTTCAGCTTTCTGCATATCTGTGAGATACTCGTGGTCAATTAAACGATTGAGCAGTTGATGCATAAACTGTTTGGCAGAGTATCCCTGGAAAAGAAAGAAACCGAATTAGAAATCTGATGATCTCATACCTCTCTCATTATATTTTCAGTCATCGTGTAAACTGTAGGCTTAGAGGCAGTAGAGAGATTTTTCAGAGTTCTGTCAAGCTGTCAAAACTTCGTTTTGAATAAATATGACCTTATAACCTACCATATCATCAGCAATACTACCTGTTACTTGGCGCAGAAATTCGCCATCAATAGTTTGCTGAGTAGAAGCGAGAGCTTGTAGATAGCCAACAGACTTTCGCAAGTCACCCTCACATAAGTTTATGAGAGTTGTCAAAGCATTATCGTCGGCAGTCACATTTTCATTTTGACAAATGAATTTCAATCTGAAAAATCTGATTCATGAAGCTTTTTTCGTTTCACCACCTTGTCAATTGGTCGTCCACCGGCAAAGGTTTGAAGCGGAATTTGGCACAACGCGAAGTTAGAGGAGCAATTATACGAGAAATGTAATTGCAAATGAGGAAAAATCTTAGCAAAATTTTTAAAAAAAGCAACAATCTGTGAGCAAACCTGGTAGTGCTACTGTACGTTTCAATAATCCTCCTCATAGCAGCTTGAGCAGCATGGGTCATAGCATCAGCCTCGTCAAGAATTATAATCTACGAAATCATACATACTGTGGTAGTCCTCTTAGAACTCACTTTGATAGAAGCACATTGTCCTGAAAGACTAGTAGGTGCCACAGCTCTTTGCGCAAACTCTTTGATCTGGAAGGAGTATACTGTTCATAATCAAGCGCAAGTTTCAAGTAAACCTTGGTTCTGACAACAGCAATACCACGTTCATCAGAAGCATTCATTTCAAGAACTCTGCAAAGCTTGAGACTAACGGAGAATCGTTTTATAGAGTTTCAAACCTATCCTTCATTACTTCCTGGGTCTTGAACATCTGTTTGCATAGTGCTAAAGCTGCTGAGGTTTTTCCAGTTCCTGGGGGTCCATAGAACAGAATATTTGGTAACTAAACTAATCGCATTCAAAATGAAAAACCGTATGATATCATACATCAGCCCCTTCCAAGACTTTCTTCAAGACAGCTACGATTTCATTTTGGGAAACCACTTCATCAACCTTGTTAGGACGACTAAAATTTGAGAAAAATAATAAAGTCAAGACGCTTTGGTAAACTACTATTTCTCAACCCATGGTTTCCTTTCTTCAAAGTTGGATTTTTTCACAACTTTCTTCTCAGCTCCATCTCCTGCGGCTGTTGATTTTTTGGCGAAAAAACTATGCATGAGGTCTGAAGAAGGATAAATCCAGTAATGAAGAAGTTTTCAAACAATTCAAATACAGGAGCCTTAACTCAAAGTAAGAAACTGATAGAAAGAAGTAATTTATTCACATTATAAGTGAGGTGATTAATGCATTATATCCCAGACAAACCCATTTCATATAACTTAACAACCCCTATTCATAACAGTTTGAATTCATCAACTTTGGTTTGGAAATAGTAACAACTTTTGAAAGCTATGAATCATTCGTACAAAGCAATAAGATACATCATGTAAATTCCGGCTAACAAAGCGAAGATTTCCTTCACAGACTGCACTAATGATGAATTCTCCAATAATTCAGGAATGACGGAAACAGTGGCTATGTAAATGAAACCTCCGGCTGGAAATAAATAGTTTTAATCAAATCTGAAAAAGTTATTACCGGTGAATGGGAGAACCCAGCTACTAGCTGCCTCTTCGGCAAGATGACCGGCATCTCCAGCCCACAAGGAGAGAACACATCCGGAAAGAGCTCCTAGCGCAGTTACTAGTTGAACGAGCATAGCCTTCCGCTTAGAGTACCCCGATTGGATAAGAATAGCAAAGTCTCCAATTTCATGAGGAACTTCATGCACTAATACGGTAACCATTGTCACTGAAGTTCAACGGTTCACTTCCTTCTTAAACAAGGATTTACCGAAGCCAACTGTGGGACCAGCAATAAATGAAGCTCCAATGGCGAGACCATCAGTGAAATTGTGAGCAAAATCAGCAACCAGGTTAAGATAAGCAGCAACCTCAAATGAAAAAAAGTTAAATTCGCGCCAAAACACGAAAACTGACCTTGATGCTAGTATGGGCATTTTTGTCTTCGCTTTCTCCTTCTTTGGCCTTCTTCTTCTTATCTTTCTTCTCTTTCTTATCCGAATCCGATTCATCGTCCGAGTGCTTAGCCTTTAGTTAAAATAGCACTTTTAAATATAAAGATAAAATTACCTTAGAACTATGTGAGTGACCACCATGGCTGTGACCATGTCCATCCTCACCTCGTAGAATTCTTACAATCTTCTCAACGAAGAGGAAAGCTATGATACCACCGAGAACCCATCCTCCAACGGAGTTATCATGAGAATGGCTATGTCCTCCTTCATGAGAATGAGCATGAGAATGCCCATGACTATCACCAGCGGGAAGTGCATGTGGGATAAGATGTAAGAAAGCATCTCCTAGAAGACCACCAGAACCAAAAGCGAGAAGGACTTTCAAGAGTGGACCAGACTCAGCTGTGTTAGCCTAAGAGAAACACAAGTCAAGGATCAAATCAACTCAAAACTCACTTGGATTGGGATAAAAAGAAGAATGAAGCAGGGTGCAGCACTGATAATGAGAGTAGCCCCGACAGCTTGAACCCAAACTCTAGTCTTAGCATCATTCATGAAAGATAAATATCTTAAACATTTAAACTTTGTATAACTATTAAAAAAAGAATTTATGATACCCTTCGTATTGATATTCAGGAACACTTCTCTTTGAGGCGGTATGTCCTCCATGGCTAAAACAGAGACTATGATATGAAGAAAGATTCTAAAACCTATGTCCATGAGAATCATGAGAGTGACCATGAGCTTCGTGTGAATGAGCATGAGTGTCATGAGAGTGAGCATGGGTATCATGAGAATGAGCATGGGTATCATGAGAATGAGCATGATCATGGCTGCAATCAGGACTTTAAAATCGACAGTGGTAAAAATTCCTACGCGTGATCGTGAGCATGATCGTGAGAATGAGCGTGAGCATGTGGACACCCTCCACCACCATGAGAATGGGCATGAGCATGAGCATGTTCATGATCATCACTAGCAGCCTAAAACACTCGAAAAATTCAGTTAAAGGTACTTATTCGGTATACCTCGTTGACTTCACGGGAATATTTCAAATGTGGTGCTTCATGAGTATGAGTATGGGCTAAAGTTAGTACTACCGCACATGATATAAGTCCAACAAGGCTGAGATAACCCATCTGAAAAATAGCAACATGTAACCGGTATCAACGATGAAAAAAGCAGATTGTAAGAGACTGTTCAGTTGAGACTTTTAAGCGTTTTTGAAAAAATAATGAACGACGCGGCAGTTTGCGTACAAGACGCTGGCCTGGTGATACAGTACCCCCCTCAAGCTTGGGATTTCATTTTGCTTTCACTCCTCTTCTGAAGAAAGAAATATGTTATGTTAAATCACTGTTAGAGTGTCAAATGGAAATTGACTTGCTTCTTATTATATTGATTGTTGATAGTTTCATATTATCCACAGCAGTGCACTTAAACAAGTAACAAAAATTAACTCGAGAAATAGTTTATGAGCAACCGGTCCTGAACGCTGTTCCTAGCAAAATGACGCGGTTCTACCAATTTCAAACTCGTGAAAAGAATATGCTAATGAGACGGGAAGTGAAAATGACCCATGCAAGAATTGAAAAATTATTACGTGTATAACATCGCTATATAAATGACAATAATTGTACATAATAGACAGATCTTTATATATAATAACACCTTGAAGATACTGTGAAAAAGATAAAATCGTATGTTTGACAGTCAACACTTATTAAGTTACTAGGGTACTTACTACATCTGCTGCAGTGAAGCAGAGAATAAATTTAATTAGTTTTTATCAATTGCATAATAAACTAAGAAAAGACATGGGAATCTAACTCTCGACGGATTGAGTGTCAAGAAATTCACTAACCCGGAAAGCAGCAGGTTCTTACCCTTAATGAAATACAATTTGGAGTACAATGGCAGGAATCGAAAAAATATGATAACAGTTTTGATTTTACATAGGTAGAGCTTAAATGGAACAGCGCTTCAAAGTAGTTCGACCAGTAACTTAAACAATAACAACAGAAATCAATAATCACCTGTATTAACATGAGGATGAAGGGTATATTTCGAATTGAAATCAATTCAAGTTTGATATTTTAAAACCCATTCTTATTGTGTATCAGCACAACCCTGATAGAAGAGGCAATACATTTATTACGAGCGTTGAACGTTCACATCGATTGCTTCAAGATGATTGGAAGTCTGATCTGTGCTATTTTGAGTTGAACGAACTGAGTCTATAAGAGGAATGTTTTGAACCCTAAAATGGACGAATGTTTTGACAAAATGTTTTTGGCATACCTGATATGTTCCGGTAGTTTTTGGAAAAACTTGTGTTGTAAAGCTTGGTCTAGCGTGAGCCGTGAGCTGGGTTCATACTCGAGCATAGCCTCAATCATCTCAAATAGTTCGACATGATCCGGTTCGTTAGACTGCATACACCGCTGGAATTATTAACATGAACTATGATAAATTTAAAAAAAGATGTACCCTTAAAGGCTTGCAATTTTCTCTAACATACTGTCCTTCTTGCGAAGATAAACTCCAATCCAATTTACCGTGGTAGAAATACTTCGTCCTGGAAGCAAATTCATGAATGAAAAAATTGAACAGACTAGTCATACTTTGTTTTCTTAGCCATTCGATAAGGGATTGGGCCTAATATTCTTTCCATCATAGCTAGATGCTCCCTATTTTCATGAGTTTGGAAAAGAGTTCCTCCTTGATATAGTTCATATAATATACAGCCAATGGACCAGACATCGCACGGTTGAGACCAGCCCAATTCTACGAAAAAAACAATGAGAATAATAAGGATACTTGTAGCTTACCGAGTATGACTTCGGGTGCTCGATAATGTCTGGTTGAGACAATTGTCGAATGATGCTCGTGATCGAAAGTGGCTGAACCGAGATCAATCAACTGTACTCGCGCATCTTTCACAATCTTGTAAGGCTGAAAAAACGGAAGGTAATGAAAAAGCAATAAGAAACGTCTTTACCTTTCCTCGTTTTGTTTCCTCTACTCTAAAATCGCTGTTTACAAATAAGATATTCTCAGGCTTTAAATCCGTATGAGTTAACTTGTTATCATGTAAAAATTTCACTGAATAGCATAACTGATACGCGATATATCTCGTCTGCTCTAGCGGATATGGACGATAACAGTTCTCTTTCTGAAATTTGGTTCTTCTATATGCTAGATATTCCAAAAAATCAAACCAAGAAATCGAACACACTCAATCCCATGAGTTTGAAGAGAAGACAGATATGACCATAGTAATCATAATGATGTAACATTTGAATAACTCCACTGAAAATAGGTAAATATAAATAATTTTTGTTCAAATTCAAAATGTTTGGCACCCCCTCCTCCTCCCCCTCGTTATGTTCTCTATAGTTGTAATATATTCGCTCTTCAGCAAGTGCTTGCCTCCCGAGCATTACAACATAGTCACTTGGAACAACTTTGAGCAAGTCTCTTTCACATATTTTTTCAAACATTTATGGTAAAGCTTCTCAAAAAACTTGAAAGTTGTTTCTAATTGAATCTTTCTCTTTCCAATAACCGGAAACGTCAATCGATACATTATGTTTACAATGGAGAGATCAGCCATGTTTCCAAGAAAATAGAGTCACTTGTTCGACCGCAGTCCGGCGAAAGCGCGACAAATGCCGGTCGGGCGATATACTCATCAATAAACAGGAGAACACAAAATCTTTGTCTTTCGAAATGAAATCAAGAAAAACTTACTACTTGCCAGACGGATCTTTCTCCTTCAGTTTATTCAACACTTTGACCTCCAAACGAGCAGCATCGCGGTACTTGCTCACATTTTTGATAATTTTTAAAGCTAATTCTTTATCACCCTAAAATGGTAATGAAAAAAAAAGTTTAATAATTTTACACAAACGTTTTCCTTGTCGACAACTCGAACGACTTTGCCGAAAGTTCCTTCTCCTAATGTGGAAACTATCACAACTGAAATGAGATTAATAATCATATGATCAGGAAGAGCAGATCAAGCACATCTTCATCCTCCGCAAAGTCAAATTTCTTTTACACTTATCGAAAAAAACACCAGCTGATGACTTGTTGAGGACAGTAGTTAAATAGATTATGCAGATCGATTGAAATAGAACCACAAAACATAGAGATGACACTCACATCTGTTTAAAATCAGATCCCCTTTATGATAGATTAAATGACCGTCTTTGTCATCTTGGATGGGTTTAGAAACGCTAGGTTGTCTAGAAGGTTCGCGTCTACTTTTCTCTACCTGAAAATAAGAAACTATGAAATTCAATTATGTAACTTTGTGAGAGAAAAATTCAAGTGTCTATTGGCTTTCATTTCCTACCTGAGGAGCAACTTTCGACCGTCTTGATTTATCCCCTGATGCAATAATTTTATCTACTTTTGCAGTCAACGAAGCCGGCAATTGAAGTTGAGCCAAAAGGCTATTAGCTAATGGATTAGTAGGGTTAGGTGGCTTTGTAGAAGGTTGCTCTTTCGGTTTTTCTTTTTTATCAGGAACAGCTTCTGGGGCACCAGTAAACGCTGCAGTTACGGCATTAACTGTTTTTTTGGCTTTCCTCTCAGCAGCTTGATCCGTCTTGTCTACTAAATCAACACCGGATTTAGATACAGGTGGGAGTCCAACAAAACCTTCCTTTCCGGCTTCATTTTTCTTCCTCCTCAGGCCGAGTTTTTTCTCAATTAAACGTTGGTCTTCACCGGGAGGATGAGGTGATGGTACATCGGTTGATGCGGAAGCCAAAGGAGACCCTACTGCGCAAATCGTAGTTCCACTCTTCGAGCCATAGGCTTTGCGTAATGCTTTCGGAGCGGAGGGTGTAACAGAAGGATCTGCTCGTGGTATAAGCTCGATTCCATCGATCCGTCGAACAGATTCCGGAGTTTTCAGCACTGATGAGGGCTTGGGTGACTCCATTGGTGTGTTCATAGTCGTTCCCGATGGAGTGGATGGAGATGGAGCAGACGATTTAGGAATACCTATTTTGGGTTCTGGTACAACAACTCCAGGTTTTTGGAGAGAATATTGCTTTGCCAACGGTGGTTTCACCGCGTTCTTAGAAGGCACATCCACAGATGTAGTTTTACTCATCGGAGAAGGTGGTTTCGTGGTCGGCATAGGTTGACTGGGTACAACAGGATTGTTGGATCTGTTGGATACAGTAGTCGGACCAATTTCGGAAGCAGTGGAAATCGAAGAATCTCCTCCCGGAGAAGTTGCTGGTCCGACTTTGGAAGGAACTTTGAGTGAAGCTCGAACGGCTTCATTCTTTTTTAACTCGGTTAATTTACCTGAGATCTGTTTTGTTAACACAGATTTTTGTTGTCCACTTGAATGTGGAGAACCGATGTTCGTTGTGATCGCTGGTGCAGGGGCGGATTCAGCTGGAATCGGAGGAACATCGGGCTTGGGTTGAACAGCACCTCTGACAGAAGTTTCTGCTTTTTGTGCATTAGTAAAAGGCTGTGACAAATTCTTCCAACAATTGTAGCTTTTATACAAATTTGGATCTGATGAGCACTTCCGTAAACTAGCCAATAACTGGTTATTACGCCTACGGCTCACGAAGTTTTTGTACTTCCTTTTACGGGGAATGACAACAAGTGGCATTCTCCGTAAGGCTAACGGTGAACCATCAACTTTGCGAAGCATAGCTGCGGAACCGTCACTAACAAAAGCTGCGTTCTGCTTTTGTGGTCCACTTTCGAGCACTCCACGTTGAGGAAGACGATGTGAAATATAATGGCGGCGTACAGGAGTAGGAGAAATAAGGACAGAGTTTTGTCTTGTAGAAGCAGACGAGGATGTCGGAGAATAGGTCGGTCTGAACTGCCTGCTTCTACCGTCTGGGGACCTAGACAGGTCAGCAGGAGACCGAGGGCACAGAAGCTGTGGAATGTGTGATGATTCAACCACCCTTGGGCAGTGATAAGAAGATGCAGAAAGAATACTGAATAACTGAAATCAGTCCAGAGCAACACTTCACAAAGAGGCTATAGTCGCCCGCGGGAAAGACAGGCGCGCATCCCATCCGCCCACCGCCGGCAGGAAGGAGCTTCACTTTACAACCCTGTTGCTGCTGCTGCTGCTTCTTCTTCTCGAGCAAAAGAGCTGCGCCAGGGATAGACACACGTATTATCTCCCAAGATATCAACGGTTTTAACGAGCACTTACCATTTCGGTACTCCAAGCTTTCCTCTTCACTTCCTGTTTCCGTGATATAGACTTCTTGGAGCTAGGTGTCCTATCTTTACTCCTATCTTTGTCCTTACGTCTTCGACTGGACCGAGAATAATCACGTTCACGTCTACATAATGAAACAAAACTCAAGAAGAATTGAAGAAACACCTACTTTTCCCGTTCCTCTCGGTAAAGGTTGCGTCGTTTAGCACGTTCATCTCTGGATTCGGCATTTCGTTTTCTGGAAGACATTATTGCTCTTGGAGAGTTATATCTGGAAAGCCATAAGTAACATCATGAAACACTTGAAACATACCGTGGATTTTTATACTTATTGTTGTAACATTCATCTTCAGAGTCAGAACTGGCTATTTTCCGGCGCCGTTCATGAGCCATGTGTAACTGAAAAGAAAAGACTGAGCAAAAAAGAGCGAACGCTAATAAAAACGATGAGACGAAGTATGTCACTCGAAAATGGTCCGTGAAGATAGAACAAGTGTAGAATTATATTAGAAACGTTAAATCGGATAGAATGAAAGCAATTTATTATGAATTACCAACTTTAATCTCTCTAGTTTATAGAAAAATCAGTCGGCGTGGTAAAACACATACACAGCTAACGGAATGCAAACCAACACAAAAAGGAAGACGAAACATTTGATTTAGATTAATAAAAACTGATTTCTGGAGTCATAAACATAGTTCAATGAATATAAGCTTATATATTTTTAAAATTGAACATTTAAAGAGTAATTAATTAAAAACAACTTCTGAAAACAGTAGGAAGCTATTGGATGCACGCCTGGCGTATACTGAACTAACCTCGATGAACTTTTGTACGCAATATATGTGCAAGCGGCAAAAAAATCTGACGAAGCTTGATAGATTTGAATAAAGCTTATAAACTTAAAACATTATAAAAAAAATAAGATGGACGCGTGCTAAAGAAAATGTACTTCACGGAAAGGAAGATTTGTACGCATTCAAAGAATCGCATTTGTCCGCCATTTCAAAGAAAATTTCGACTTACGAGAGGGAGAGAAAGATAGATAGTTCGACAGAGAGAAAGAGAAATACGTGAATCACCTTTGTAAACTTTGTCATCATTTGCTCTCTTATTTCGTATATATAAATTTATCAAAACTCCATTTTCCGTGTTTTCTCAGAACATCATGGGTGACGAACCGCTGAATGTGAAGGATCCGGATGAACCTCTGCTTAAGGATGAAGCTATTAACAGAAAAAAAAGTCGACTAAGACCTAATCCTGAAGCTTCTGCTAACTTCTTTTCCAGAATTTCGTTTTTGTGAGTTGTTTATTTCTGTTTCTTATCTCATGCTGATAATAGTTTTATGACCAATATCTTTCGTATTGGATACCGGAAATCATTGGAAGTTGAAGATATGTACGAACCTCTCCCCCAACACGATTCAGAGACTGCATGTAGGAAATTAACAACGTATGCATATATATATATAAACAATCATATAAGCAAGTTTCACAAATAATTCAGTGCTTGGGAGTATGAGCAAAAGCTTGCTTCTGAACAGAAACGGGACGCGTCACTGCTCAAGGCTGTTATCCGTACATACTGGAAACAAGTTGCTCAACTGGGAATTTTACTATTTCTTGAGGTTTCTACCCATATAAAGACTTTTCGAAAAATAATAAAATGTGTAAGGAGTTCATTCATCTGTTGCAACCGCTGTTCATGGGACGACTGATCAGGTTTTTCCGTCATGATAGCTCACTCACTACAAATGAAGCTTTGTTTTGTAAGTTCTTAGAAAGAACATCTCGAGATCAGCTCTTTATAGCTGCTGCTGGCGTTGCCATCAGTGCTGCAGTAGTAGCGATGATTCATCATCCTTACTTTTATGGCCTTCAAAAAATTGGAATGGAACTGAAAATCGCTGCTTCTGGAATGATGGTGAACAAGGTATACAGAGAGGATAAACTCCGTACTTGAAATTTTCAAGGGAATCCGACTCTCAAGCGCAGCCCTACAGAAAGCTACAGTAGGACATATGATAAACATCTTATCAACTGATGTTACAAAGTTCGATACTGTAATGCCTTATCATCTCATCATATGTTTCATCTCGGATATTGCAGGGGTTCCTTTTCTTCCATTATATTTGGGTGTCTCCTCTACTCTTGTTGGGTTATTCTTACTTCTTATGGCAAGAAATCGGTCCATCTCTTTTTGCTGGTGAGTTTTCATATAAACCACAATTGAAAATTTTGAGATTTTCTCTAGGTTTTGGAGGTTTGATTGTGTTGATACCCATACAAGGGTATTTCAGTCGTCAAATGGGTGCTTGCAGGTGATTATTTATTAATAATTAAAGCCGGAAATTTGCTGAAAAAAAGGATTAGATGGAATTAAATCTCAATGAGCCCTTTTAACATTACACTGAGTTCACGTGTTATACGTGACCAACAGCCCACGTAAAATGCGTGAACTTTAAAATATTTTACCTTCATTATTACCCCTTACCGGTTGTTCTTTTGTTCAGCCGAACATCTGAATGCTCAAACTAATAATTTCAGGCGTGAAATTTCTGTTCGTACTGATAAACGTATCAGTGTGATGAACGAGATCTTGAACGGTATCAGAGTGATCAAAATGTATGCTTGGGAAGGAGCATTTGCTCAAGTAATCGGACAGTTGAGAAGGTATTGAATAACTGTAGAACTAACGAAATGCTCTGATTCAGTCGTGAGATGGAGAAAGTAAGAGCAAATGCCGCTTTTCAATCTTTGGTTATGGGTATTCAAATGAAATATCAACTGCGATTCAGATTTTCGTTTTAGGGCTATTCTGGTCATCCGGTAAACTTGTCGTGTTATTTTCCGCCGTATGCTACGTCTTCACTGGGAACATTTTAACTGCTGAAAGAATATTCGTTTCCGTATGTTGATAATGTTTTGGCAGAGATATTTTTTTATTCTTAAACAGACTGCTCTCTTCAATTCATGTAGATTACCAATCACCCTGTTCCTTCCGTTTTCAATACAATTTTTCTTTGAAGCTCGCGTGTCAATCAGGAGAATTCAAGTCAGCAATCACATATTCATTTGTTACAATCAATAAACTTTCAGGCATTCCTTGAGCTTGAGGACTTCTCCAGAGTTTCTATTACTAACTCAAAGCCAAAAACGAAGAAGACGAAGAGCATAAACGACAAAGCTGAGGAAGAGGTATTTTTAATCTAGAAGTATGAGAAATTTATCATTTTCAAGACTCCTCTGACAAATGCTGACGAAGATGTACCCGAATCAAAGCATTGTGACATAAACATCAAATCAGGCGAAGACAGGAATGGTGCACATATTACTCTCAACAATTTCTCATCTAGTTGGACTACTGCAGAGGTTCAGACTCATGTTTGGATCTACTTTACAGAAGAAAGTTTAGGAATCGGGCGAAGATGTGGTCGCTGTGAGGAATGTAGACTTATCAGCTAGCAAAGGTCAACTTGTTGCGGTTGTTGGACCTGTTGGAGCTGGAAAGGTATTATCGTTGATTTTGAAGATGTTATCTTGTTTTGTTTTAGTCATCGTTGTTATACACATTATTGGGTGAAGCAAGAGGCGTGAATGGAACCTTATCTATGTCTGGAAGAATCGCTTACTGCTCACAGGATTCTTGGATATTTAGCGGCACTGTTCGAGATAATATTCTCTTCGATCAATCATTTGATGAAGTAAGCTCAATAGGGATACTCGGATTTTTGAATGAATCGAAATTTCTAGGCGAGGTATCGCAAAGCTATAGATTACTCAGCACTTTCTAATGATATTGCCCAACTCCCACATGGAGATGCAACAACCGTAGGTGACAGAGGAACTTCATTATCAGGCTTGTTATTTCCGTATTCATTTTTTGATATGATTAGTTTAGGTGGACAGAAAGCAAGAATTGCACTGGCCAGAGCCTTATACTCAGACGGTGACATATATTTATTAGATGATCCTTTGTCTGCTGTTGATGCTGCTGTTGGTCGCTTCTTATTTGACAAGTAAGTGTATAGTAATGGAATGGTCGGATTTATGTTTTTTTTTCAAGATGCATATGTCATGTTCTGAAAGATAAAATAAGAATACTGGTGACTCATCAAGTTCAATTTCTGGATAAAGCTGATATTGTGTTGCTCATGAGAAATGGAGAAGTGATTGCTAGTGGACCTCCTTCACAATTGAAGAAAAGCCACGCTAAAGAGTTTGAAGCTTTGATACATGTGATCAGTCTCCGCTCTCCGTTTTCAAAATTACGTTGTTTTAGGAGACAGAAGAGACGTATGCAAGACGTATTTCTGAAAGTGGAACTCCAAGAAGAACTCTATCTGAAACGGAGTCTGAAGGTTTGCGCAAATTAATCGAACTAGGAAAGATTCAAACCTTAGAACATCAATCTTTGCAACGTGCATTATCTGTCACCAGCGATAAGGAAGAACATGTGTTCAACGGGAAAGCTGATTATGTTGCTCCTGTAGAAGAAGAAGAGAAAGGAGATGGTAGTTATTTTTATGATATCGCCTACATACTCTTACTGTTTCCAGGAGCTGTATCATGGGCTATTTACTGGCATTACATACGAGCTATGTGTGGTAACCCTTGGATTGTTGCCCCACTCACTGTTATGGTTCTTGCTGTTCAACTCATATTCAATATTACTGACTGGTGGTTGAACAAATGGTAAATTAAAATAATTTTTTACACCTATCATTCTATCTTTCTGTTTAGGGCCAATGCATCTGAAACAATATATGCTTCTGTCTTGAATGGTTCTACTTCTGTTGAGATAACTGGAGAGGAGACCGTACCATTGTCGTTCCTAGGATATGTTCTCAATCTGACATTGAGTGAATATATGTATACTTTCGCCGTGTTAACATTCGTACTAATAATCGGCTCTGTCATAAGGTTAGTTGCTCAGTTTTGACTCAATATAATTGCTTAATATGAAGATGTGTGTGGTTCCGAATGGCTCAAATTGTCGCATCTTCTCTTCTACATAACAGAATGTTCGATGCTATAGTCAAAGCAAAAATTATCTTCTTCGATAAGAATCCCATAGGTTGATAGACTTTATCTATTCTTGATGACCGCCTCATGTTTTGCAGGTCGTATTCTCAATCGTTTCTCCAAAGATGTAGGAACTATGGATGATCAACTATCTTTCGTATTCTTTGAATTCATGATGGTTCATAAGTGCTATAATTGAAATCTAATGTTTTCTTTAAGGGAGCTCTCAATGTTTTCGGTCTCGTTGCGGTGATTCTCTTCATCAATCCTATTGTTTTCCTACCAACCTTACCACTTCTCATCCTTTTTGTTTTCCTGCGAATCGTTTATTTATCAACTTCTCGGGATGTCAAACGGCTTGAAGCAACAAGTAATTTCAACTTTTTTTTTCGGTATGCTTATGTGACTACAATTTTAGCTAGAAGTCCTCTGTATTCGCACATCTCGGCTGTCATGCATGGTCTCGTCACCGTAAGAGCTTTTTCCAAACAGAATCAAGCCATGCTACGCTATCATGAAGTTCAAGTGAGAATAAGCCGAAATGAAAGAAGATTCCACTACTTTCTTTAGAATATCAATTCTTCTGGCTTCGGTCTCACCGTATCTACTTCCCGATGGTTCGCAGTATGTACAGATTGGCTTGTTGCATTTTTCGTAACTGCTGTTTCTTTCTTCTGTATTTACACACACAGTAAGTCGAATTGCTTTTAATAACTCTATGCCTTCCTTTTTAGCTGTTATGACCTCTGGCGAAGTAGCTTTGATGCTGGTATACGCCGTTCAGCTTACCGGGTTCTTCTCATGGATTATGAGACAATCGGCTGAACTCCAAAACGGTGTAAGTTCCCTTACGAAATCATTTGATGAAATCCATTATTTTGAACTTTCTGACCATAATTTGCTCTCGCACACTTATCGCTATCGCTTTTCTGTTTCTTTTGTTTGATTGGTTTATCATTTTGCACCTATTTCGAGAGTGTTTACGCAAGCCGTTTAGAAACACTCTTCTGGGATATTATAATGAGCGAAATGAGATTTCGGAAAGATGTGAAGTGCTTATCAATATGTACTTTCAGATGGTTTCGGTTGAAAGAGTTGTCAATTATACCCAATTGGAACCTGAATTAACTAGTGACAAAACTGTTCCTGATGAATGGCCTACCGCCGGTCATCTCCAGGTACAATGAAATACGCAGACAGGCTTATATGTTTTTTCTATCATCAGATGAATAATGTGTATCTGAAATATGATGAGACCTCTGATTATGTTTTAAAGAGAATATCGTTGGATATCAAGCCGAAAGAGAAGGTAGTAGCGCCTCTTCACATCACTGTAGTCAATATTTGATTGCAGATTGGTATTGTCGGTAGAACTGGAGCTGGTAAATCATCCCTGCTTCGGGCTTTGTTCCGATTAACGGTCCCTTGCGAAGGAAATATCCTTATCGATACCATTGATTGTGCTAATGTTCCACTTCAAAGACTTAGAAAAAGTATTTCGATCATTCCTCAGGTATACCGTCGTGACACCTTCAACTAAAGTAAGAACTATTAACAGGAGCCAGTGTTGTTTATTGGTAGTCTTCGACGAAATCTAGATCCTTTCGATGAATATTCTGATGAAGCAGTTTGGGATGCTTTGGAACAGGTGAGAAGCATCTAATATCAATTTCAGTTAAAATTAATGTTTAGGTGGAATTGAAATCGGTGGTCGTAGAATTACAAGGAGGACTTCAGGCCTCGATGCAAGAGGGTGGTGTTAACTTCTCGGTAAGTACAATGAATCATTTAAGGAATGTCGGAAGTTCTCTTTAAAGAAAATAAGTGTTTAACTTTTTCTCTTCACATGTTGTTCACATAAGTGGCTTGTCTTTAGGTCGGTCAACGTCAGCTGATTTGCCTTGCGAGAGCTCTTCTCCGTCATGCTCGTATTTTGGTAATTGATGAAGCAACCGCCAATGTAGATCCTCAGTATGCAATTAATCTAGAAAGGGTTTAGATGATGATATATTTAGAACTGATGCCCTGATCCAGAAAACAATTAGAATGAGATTTGCTGACTCTACCGTTCTCACCATTGCTCATCGTCTTAACACAATTATGGACAGCACTCGCGTACTTGTTAGTCAAAAACAGTTTTTCTTTCGATCTGTCTTGTTGTTCTAGGTTCTGAAAGATGGAGAAGTTGCAGAGATCGCTACTGCACATGAGTTGTTGCAGAAACCAGAAAGTTTGTTGAGCTCTTTGGTTGAAGAAACAGGATCAGCCAATGCTGCGCTTTTGAGAAAGGTAAAGGATAATTTCATTTGAGTAATACCTGTAATATTTTTAGATTGCGAAGCAAGCATACGATCATATTCATCAAGAGAATTGATGAAAGAACAAGAAACTGTTCTTTTTTGTTGGTTTGAAGAATATTGAAAGTTTCCAAAAACTAATCGGTATTCTTCTTTTTGTTAGTTGATCATTGTCTATTACCTATGTTCTCTTTATTATTTGAACAAGCGCAAACATCGAATGAGAGGGTGGTACTCTTTTTACGGTGCAAGATTCACAACTCTCAATAGCTTTTTTTCTCGTAACTATTGTACCTCTCTTTTATACATCGTTTCGCCTTATATGGTATCCGAGGGCCCATACGCCCAACAAGTCGTGTCTCCTTTAATAATATTAATAACTTACGCTTCCTTCAGTATTTTATTTGTTAACCTTTAATGAATTACAAACTTTGTTGAGCTGAGTTAAACTCTTCTTTCACTTCTGATATCGTGTAGCATTGTTGAGCTTATATTTATAATATCGTTCATTGCATAATCAATTGAAAGAAAGCATAATTCTTCACATTTATGAGATTGAGGCAATATTGTTATATTCAGTTGCGATGGTCAGCTTTATTACAAGATAAACTTTCTTCTTGAACTGTTCTTGAAAAGCGAAAATCTTGTCCTTACCGTTCAGATCATCTTTTATTTCTAATTTGGAGATCTAATTGCTCAAAGCACAGATATATCTCCAATTGCTTCATTGTGTACTTCAGTCTATCCTATATACACACTCTCTCTTTAAAAATTTCGTCACCTTCTTTGAGGTCGTACTAGGTTCGTGGTGCTGGCTCTCCAGACGGAAAAGACAACCATCGAGCCGGCCCCCTTCAGCCTTTATATAAGAGAAGCTAGCAATACTATCTAAAATTTCATAGCATCGTTCACGCTTCTTCTTTAATCCAATATCGAAAGAAGCTGATCGACACATTTCAACAACATTAACTTTTTTTTGAACTTTTGATTTTAAGTCTTTTTGTTGAATCTTATCTTTGAGTTCGAATGGTCAAAATTATAGTTCTAGATGTTTTGGGCTATCCTTGCTACCTCAGTGATCGCTTCTACAGCGTTCGCCCCTCATTACCTGTACCCAGGTAATGCTCCAACTCCGGATGAGGTAAACGGAAATCTAATACTTACGTAAACCTTTCAATGTTAGGCTTCGCAATACGAAGTGCCGAATCGCCCATTAACTTCTATAGAAGATAGTTTGGACGCTGGTATAGTTTAAAAGAACTTTGAAGCAAAAACTATTAGCCTTCCAGGCGCCTACTTACACGCTCCACAAATGGATGTTGAGGTGATAGAAGACGAATGTGAAGCTTTGCCGAATAGAACAAAAACTCGTCCAGCCTTCTATCAGTGTTCTCAGGGTAAGCTCGAAAACTTCGCCAGATGACTCAGTCACTTGACATGAAAAGAGAGAACACAAAGTTGAGCTTAACTCCCGAAGCATGAGCGAAGCATCGGCTTCTGGTCATTTGATTCATCCTTTCACCATTATTACATCTGAATATTTGTCCTTCATACTCCGGTTCTATTGACAGAGAACATTGTTCCTGTTGGACAGGCCTATGCTTGTACGGCAACAAAAGGTTTGCCATGAGACTGATTTTGACCTATAGCACTTTACAAACTATTGTGCGCATGCGAAAAATTCAAAGCTCACATAATGAAAGACGAAGCTAGATCAAAGCATGGAATTCTAGTTTAAGATATTGATGTATTGAGCGAGTTAATGAATTCCTCAGCTTCCTCTCTCATCTGGAAAGAAAAATATTTTTTTGTTGCGTAAACTAGTGAGATCAAAACAAATCGATGTTAGCCTGAAGTCTCTTCTTTCGGATAGTTTTTACTCACCTCTCAAGTCTTTCTCCACGCGTATCTACTTCACAAGCTCAGAGGGAACAATAGATCTTTTTGTGTGTCCGACAGAGATTCCTTCCTTCCAGACACGGTTTTAACTTTACATGGTGGCGCTATCACGAATTTGACTGGGGACGATACTTATCCTATTTCCTTTGCTGAGCCTATTCGAATCTTCCTAGATGTAACAAGCACGGCCAACAGAAGGTAATGACATCATACCTGGTGACATAATAAAAACTTCTAATTTCAGATTTGACAATATTGCTGTTGATGTGTCATTATACAAGCGTACTTCCAGCTGGTTTGGTTGTGGTTGGATGTTTCTTCCTAGTTTTGGCCAACTGTACGTCTTTTCATAAGTTAAAAAAATGTAAAAAAACAAAAAAAGCTATTAGAAGAAGCAGCTTCTTTCCTGTTTACGTACAAAAATATGATTTTAATATTTAGTTTTACTGAATTACTCTTTTCAGTAGTAATTCTGATATGTGCGATGATAACCCGTCCTGTCCTATTTCGCCAGGAAGACAGGTTTTTCCATTAATAATCTTTCAAAAACGATACAAGCAATATGTAACTGGTCAGAATCGACTCAAAAGTACAAATTATAAGATAAATCTGTAATTAGATAAGAAGCCGAGATGCCTGATCAGCCTTATAAACTTACGAGCAATCCTATCTGCAAAAGCTTATCGAACATTCACATTGACCAACTAGTAAACAAGTTTTTAGTCACTATCCTGAATATCTAATAACTCACGTCATATCACGTGAAACAATGTTTACGCACCTCATTTCATACGTGCTCGACTCAGGGAACGGTTGCATATGATAAATCGATCAATAATAATCTCTCAAATTACAAATTAATTGCAGGTCATCGAGTTCGCTGTTGATCCGACACGTTTGTTTACCAGATTGTTCCGTATAATTCATGATGACATGGTACGATCGTAAACTTACGTACAAATTAAAATGATCAGATTTTACAGATTGGATACCAGCTCGTAATACGATTAGTCGATAATCGTCGTCCATATGAAGATCTGCTGTGTGCAACTGCACAAATGCGAATTCGTCTATGATGATGAAATCAGAATTATTTATTTTGTTCACATGACAAAAGTTGCTAATTTATTGTTTTCTCGAGCTGAAAGTATATGAAGCTGTTATACTGTATGATGGATATTTCAGAAACAAGCTTGTTCTCTCGAAATGTCAAAACACTATACTATACAGGTTGATTAACTGAATAAAGTATTCCAGAATTGTCTTTTCGTGTTCTTCATGCTATGAGTAATCAAGATAATGATTATATATTTATTTTATCAATATAATATGTATTAGTTTTCAGAATATAAAAAACGCGTTTTCTCCTGTGTGTTGCTTAACAACGATAAAGTTAAGAGTAAGCATAACACTCGAAAGAGTCAGAAGAGACAAAAACATAGCTTTGAGATCATAACAAGGAATTGTAACTACAGAAGATGAGATTTTGCTGATATAAAAGCAATTTCCGAGCTATTATGGTACATATTCTCAGCTGGTCGACCTCAGGACTACTCTGGTCCGGATTGGCAATGTAATATTCTTTGTTCTCGGCGTCGAAGAGTATTTGAAGTAAGGCCGCATGGATGAGTTTTTTTTATATAAAGAACGATTGGCAGTTTCAGACATTTGGCAAACAATCAACAAGCTCGTTTACTGCACGTTAAAGCTGAACACATTTACAGAGTATAATGCATGTAGAACACCGGGAGTCTTTAGAAGTTCGGCGAAGATCGGGATCTAATGATAATGTTGGAGTGTTCGTCTGAGAATGAGCTCGAGCCGCTCAGTGTCTGCATTGAACTAGCAGAGGTACTTCGGCTGATTGTTGGAGTTGAGAATAGAGACAACTCGTTTGTGAGCTCCGTGATTGGAATAGTGTTCGACATGAGAAGGTCGAGAACTTCGTTGGAGAATTGTGGATCGTTGAGAATGGAAATGGACATGATGATTTCCTGAAAAGCGATAGATGAGTAAAAGTATTCGACATTACATAAACATATTAAGAGACAAACGAAAGAAAAAAAATTAGAATGATGTCTGGGCTTTATGGAGAGAAGATCTTACAGAGCGTAGATATGAATCGTTGGGCAAGAAAGTGACCAGGATGGCTGGTAAGAGATTGTTTTATAGTAAATTGTACTTCTATTAATAGAAATTCCGGACTGCAGGTTCGTATAAAGTTTGTTAGTTGATTTGATCTCTATTTTTAACGAAGAGCACGTCAGGTCTTCGGCCACCCACCACCGGATTGTTGGAATGACAAAGAAAGTGTTAGTACAAATTAACTGTGGAAAACATGACTTTTTATTTATCATGTTTTTCAACAATGCTCTCTCTCTCTCTCTCTTCCATTTTTAACTTTCATAGTCCTTTTTTGGGAAACTATTTTAAAGAACATAGCGAAGACGATGTTTCCAAGAAGGGCAAACACAAGATAGAACAGCGTACACATACGAAGTCATATGAATAATCACTTTATGAAGAGAACAATCATTATGTCTTTCTCTGATTAGTTTTGACTCGTTGTTGCCTTTTCAGACTCTTGGTCACAATGATCGAATGAAGTGAGCAAGTTATTCGAGTAATTCTTCAAGAGTAGAAGTTCTGCAGGAAAGTACATAGTATGAGTGGGGACTACAAGTTGGAGATTTGTAATAGCACTTTCAAGAAACTACTTCAGATGAAGGTGATCTTTTTGGAACATGGGGTCAATTTGCAACGGGTGGACGTACTACACTAATCTGTCGTGATTAGCGTTGTATTTAGACTAGGCTTCTTCTGTATTCGTTCAGCCTGACGGCCATATTACAGTCATGCATGAACGAGACTGCAGAAGCATTGGATGTGTAAAGTTAAAAAGCCAAATACTGCAAAGGAACAGCAGCCCTAGGGCGTGAGGGACGGGTTGCATCTTCTTGGAAAGAAGAAAAGATGGTAGAAGGAATAACACAGATTGACAGTGACTAGGTGAAGAAAAAGGAAAGAGACAAGAAACAATTAATGAAAGAAGAAAGAAGAAAAGCGGCCAGAGGCGACCATCGGCCGGCCCTGAAGACAATGACTGACCTGAAGAAGCATTTGCCGTCGGGAATGATTGAAAGAAGGGACGGCCAATGGTTGGAAGGTCGTGATCAGATTGCTAATTTAGTCAAAGGCGATGAAGAACAAAAGACTTTCATGTGGAAGAGGCGGGCAAGGTACGAAGGGTAGTTTCTCTACATTTAGGGTAGTCTCTAGTATTCGCATTTATAGGAACTATGAGACTTAGAACTACTTGTTGTGCTTGATTGTAACAATTAGAAGAAGACATTATGAATGGGATGACGAGCATCGTTAGAAGAAAGGAAGTCTTTTTTGTAACAGAGACTCTGTAGGGAAAAGAGGAAATAATAAAGAGAAGTCTCATTGTTTCATTTGAAGGGCTTCAAAAGAATATTCTGGACTGACACAACCTTCAGACCACAATGCTTCACGGTAATGAAGACTCGGCTTTTCGTTTGCATACATACACACACACACACACAGACGCACACACCCTTTTTTGGTCCTATTTCACGAGGAAGGACAAGGTGGGTGGACCATGACCTGCAGCAACTTGTTGTGTCAGCTCAGGAATTCCAAACACAGCACTGTTCGTAGAACAGTAGTAACACTTACTTCAAGGCTTCACGTGCTATCCAAAACAGGAACGTGCTTGCAGGGCGTTTGCAACATCTGTTCGCGTAAGAATCTTCTCTCAAAGCAAGCCAAACTTTCCATTTTTTGCGAATTACTCATGAAAAGATAACAAAACAGATGGAAATGAAAAAAGCACTTGTTACGGTCACGAGGAACAGCAGAGGTCGGTGTATTGCCTTAGGCGTTAACACAGAAAATTGGAAAATGAAACCATGAACATAATACGATTTTCCAGTCTTCTACAAGAAAACACCTTCCTCACCTCAGATATGTGAAAAAGAGAAAGATAATTGTGTAAGCTGGTGGTGTTAGTTGTTTCAGTTCGATCAAGAAACACAGCGATGACGATGTTTAAGCTAGAGAAAGCTGGAAGAGAACCAAGAGAACAGAACGTTCTTTCATGCATGCGCATGACGCTATTGATAAATAGTTGATCATCAAGCCTTAGGTTAAAGGAACACAAAGAAAATATCATATGGATGACAACGAGGGAGTCGGCGATGACGAAGATGATGATGTCGGATGGCTACGATGGCAATCATACGTATATGACAACTATGAAAAAAGGGGGAAAAGAGAGATATAAATCTAAAAAGAAGGGAATGACGAAAAAACTGGAGAAGAACTACAATTAAGAAGAACTGAAGAGTAAATGAGCTGATTGTAGGAAATCCGAGAAACTTATATAAATTGAACGAAGAAAACAAAGATAGAGATTGACAGGTAAACAATTCTGTCTTTGCAGAGGATGCAGCAGCTATCATTGTTTTTGTTCAATGATATACCTTCTTTGGTCTTTACAATCAAATGATTATGATGAAATGAAAATGAATTTGATAAACTTCTACGAAGCGATCATGAACCAAGCTTTCCTTCTCTTCTTATATCAAGCTCTTCGTCTATTATGAACAAAGGAACTTTCTAGTCGCCATCCACGTATGTCCACGTATTACTTACAACTTCATTTTTGAAATGCAAACGCGTAGATCGGTTGGTTATCTTTTTTTTCTTTCTCTGTTTCCCATTCCCCTCTCTTTCTCTCTCCCTCTCTCTCTCGCTCTCTCTCTCTCTCCCTTTCTCTCTCTCTCTCTCTCTCTTCCTTTTTCTCTTATTTTTTGAACGAAAGAATGATGAGTAAAAATGAGTAGCAAGTATTTTGATTCTTGCACGTTTTTTTCTGTTTTTGGTTTGTTAAACAAAACCTTTTTGGGACATTGTCTTTCTTTCTTGGAACATCTTACTTACGAATAGCGAAGCTGGAAGATGTTTTCTACTAACAGTACATAGAATGGTGAAAGAAGTACGACAAAACTGGTCAGAAGCCGTCATTTACTTGTAATTAAGCTAATTAACAGAGCTGAATCATAAAGGAAACGACAATAAATCAACTTGTTCTACAAGTGACACCTTTCAGTTTCAAAACTGAAATGTTTATTTTGTTACGTATTCTTAACAGGAAACTTCATGTTACAAGAGAATGAACAAGTGGGATGATCAAAGAGATTATCTTATTGGCTCATTAACACAACAGTCTACAGTCTTCGTACGTAGTTCGAGCGATAGCTTTACGGTACATCTACCGTAGTCTATACTCCAACCTTCTGGCTGATGACATCAGCAAGTATTCACAAGCTTCGTCGAACATTACCGTAAAGTGTTCAGAAACTGAAAAAAAAAGGAGGAGAGAATGACAAAGAGCATAAAGTGTTTAGCTTCACAGAACGTTACAGTCCTTATATATACTCGAACAGTTAATTGAATGGTGTGACGTCAAATGTCTTCGTCAGATTTCCTCCTAACGGCCAACTATCACCTTTCGCATTAGAACGAGGTTTTTCGTTTTTACATTCTAATTTTGCATCTTTCCGTCAATTGGCCATAAGAGGAGGAGGGTCAATGCCTACGTCATCAAAAGCTACCACGTTGTCGATTCTACTTTTCAATCCTTAATAAGAAAATTGAACAACAGCAGATCAAGTGGTTTCCTAATTCGCCTAACTGTCTTGACGAAAATGGGAAAAACGATGACGTCACAATATTTCAGAAAAAAGTTGAGAAGAAGCTTCTTTCCGCAACTTCGAGTATTACACCTATTTATAGCTTCTGTTAAAAGGTCTGAACACTTCTAGCTAAGATGGGATGAAACCTGTTAAATAATTACAAAAAAAAAGATTTGAAAATATTACATTTTTTTAGGAAACTGACCAATTTTGGCTACTCCAATAACATGAAACCGAGTTGGAGCTTGTGGAAACCGGTTGCTAGAAGCTTTTCGTTACATTTCCACTGTTTTTCTGAACCCAACGCCTTCTGATTTCACTTTGATGTTGATGTTGAACGAGTAATTCATAACTACATAAACTCCTAAGATGAAAACTGTCTTGTGACGTCACGACTTCTGACGTCGTCAAAAACGTCTACTTATGTGACCTTGTTTGATTTAATTCAAAACCCGAGAATCGGACAAGATTTCATGTTTCCACTTCGAATTCTGAAAAAAAGGACTACAACGTCACTGCTACGTCACTAATGAGGAGGCAAAATGACTGTCCTCTTTTTCTGAACATCTGCAAAAAACAAAAGAAGTAAAACACTTGTAACCTGGAAGCTGTTGAGAGTCAACAAAAACGTTTGGAACTTCACATGTTTCACCTATTGTATGACAGTCTCATCTAATGCGATTCACGTCTTTTACACGCCGACTGACGTCAAGTTTCAAGAGTGAGTGCTTTCAAATGCTATTTTGTCTAACCTGTAAAGAAAAAGTTTTGCTTTCCTCTTTGAATCAGCTGATGAAGGTCTAAGATAATAGATTGTTAATGGTAGTTTACGGACATTTCATTCGAGTTGCTGACGTCACACTCTCTGACGACATTAAGGGATTTCCTGGTCTAAAACGGTACAACAATTTTTCCTTTCGTTCATGAACTTCGAGCGCTCATGAAGGGATCTTAAAATAGAGAATAGTTTTCAATGACATTGACGATGTTACTATGAAGTAACCGTCTAGGTAATTGAACCATCCCAGTCCATCATCCTGATGTTTTCTTTACGACGAATCGATTTGAATAGTCTCTTCAACCCTATAACGTTAACACGAAAATACGAAAACTCATTCATACAATAGGGACATTTGGGATTAACATCGATGGCATGTCCTTCGAAGTTATCGATTTATCTGTAATCCCGCCTTTTATCATTTTCTTATTACTTAGAATGGAATGAGAGAGACGGAGCAAATTGAGAGAGACTCTAATGCTCAGCTCAACTCTCTATTTAAACAAATATACTTTTCACTATTCATTCGGAGTCAAAGTTATATTTCATTTGTTTCTCATTAAAGTTATAATATTATAGAAACTTGAAATTGGCCTGCCATTGAAAGCTATTGTATCATTAGCCAATGCAATTGTTCTTTTCTTTTCAAAATACCTTCCCAATTACTTCGTGTGAACTTTTCAACGGAACATTGAGATTACTGACATTATATGAGCTTCAGTTGTATGCGGATGGCAAAGCTGTGTCATTTGCTCATGAAATTAGAAGTTTATTTGATAACATGGCCACTGAGAATAAAGGGGTAGATCAGGCCTTTCATGTATGTACTCTCTCACTTTCATATACTGCCTCACTTCGCTGCTCTTTATCGTCTGAGTCTCTCCTAGTCTGCTGCCTATCAAGTAGTGGGGTGGCATTCAAATATTTCTTCCAACGTTATAAAAATTAAATCTTATTTCTTTACATACTTCTTCACTGTTTTCTAAACTTTATTTTTCTAGTATTCAATGTATAAGCTATCTTCTATGTTATTATACAAGAGATAAAGGTCAGTTTTCAAATTTCCCACTCATTTCCGCAATCATTTCACGTACGTTTTTTTATTCTAATTCCTTTCACAGCTTTCTCATTTTCACTTTCGTTCAGCGCAGTAGTGGTTGTTTCTTTTTTTGAACCTAGGCGCCAATCTTAGTATTTTAGTTATTATCGTCATCATAGTACTCTGTTTCCTATTTCAATCCAACTCAAAATAGTTATGCGATAAAGGCCGGAAATTGGAATTGCAGGCTGCTCAACCTATTCTGTCATACGGGAATATATATTCGATATCATTTAGTATTTTTTATCTTTATAAACAATTATGACATTTACCAGTACTGAACTGAATTGTCTCATTTGGAAATATCTGCAAGAAGCAGGTTAGTTTGTCGTATGTCTTTCCGTCACTTACATATTCCTGCAGGTTTTTCCCACACTGCTTTCATATTTTCTAAAGAATCTCATTTGGATGCGTCCCAAATCAACACGGAACATATAATTAGTGGAGCCCTCCCAACTCTAGTTCAAGTTTGTGATTTTCTAAAATTGTTCACGATGCTTCGGTTTCAGAAGGGTCTTTTTTATACCGAAGCAGAGCTATGCACAGCGTTGTCTGATGAAAACGAAAAAGCCTCTGTGCCTACATTAAGTTTAATAGAAGCAGGTAATGATGAACAAAGATATTCAGTTCCATATCTGTGTGCTCAGTTACTTGTGATATTACTGAAAAAAAAAAACGTGAAAAGGAATCTGAAGAAAAAGCTATAGTTGTTCAAGAAGAAACACCGGTGGTTAAAGCAGACTCCCCTGTACCTGCTGCATGTAGTCCCAAGGTTAGTCTCATTCTCTCTTTCTTTTCGAAAAAAAAACTAACCAAGGATTCGAGAGAGATTTTGTGTGAAGAAAAGCTCAGAAAATTCTTTCTTTCCAATTTTGAATTTTATAGATAGAGTGGGGAAAAAAAACAAGAAATCGGAATGAACGCATTCAAACTTTCAGCAAGAATGAAGTCAGATTTTTGAAATCCCATGCTAGCGAAGTCTTTATTTGTGCATGGAATCCAAAAAACGAACTATTAGCGTCTGGGTAACATTATTATCGGTTCTCTTACTTATATCTCTTCTTTTCTAGTTCTGGTGACGCTACTGTCAAATTATGGGATCTCACTCAGACTCATGATTTATCAGTTCAAGATCAATATTTCTCTTCTAACACTACAGTATTAAAACATAGTTCAGAAGATGTGGATTACAATCCTAAAAACAAGGTTCGTGTTGTCCCAGACTGATTTGATCACGGGTACTACAATCAGGATGTAACCAGTATGGATTGGAACCCTTGCGGGGATCACATAGCTACAGGATGCTATGACGGCTATGCTCGTATTTGGAATTCAAAAGGTAATACTTTTTTTTTAATACATAGTGCTTAATTTTGTTTCGTCTTAGGGCATTTGAGATGCGTTCTTGGTAAGCACAATGGACCTATCTTTGCCCTAAAATGGAATGCTCGGGGAGACTATGTACTCTCTGCCGGAGTTGATAAAACCACTGCTATATGGGATGCTTTCAAAGGTTCGCCTCGGAAATTGAATTTGGATTAAAGTTATGTTTAGGTTGTCCCATACAACATTTCACATTCCATGAGCAATCAGCTTTGGATGTAGATTGGATTACAAATGAAATGTTCGCCTCATGCTCAACTGATAGAACAATTATAAAATGCCAACTTGGTAGCGAAGTACCTCTTCTCACTTTAACGGTTTGAACGAGAATATTAATAATTACAGATAAGCTCCTATTTGTAGGGTCACAGAGGAGAGGTGAATGCTATTAGATACGATCCTATATCAGGACGGCTAGCGTCTTGTTCAGACGATAAAGCCATCAAGGTACGAAGCAGACAGAGTAGTTTTTATTTTATTCTGTGTTCTTGAGATATGGGATATAGATGAAGGATATTCATTGAAAAGCTGGGAAGGACACGAAAAGGAAATTTATACCATACGTTGGAGTCCCAACGGACGGATCTTGGCAAGGTAATTTCTCGTTTAGATTGTTGTGTTTATATAATTGCTTCAGTGCTTCCTTTGATCACACAGTTAGGCTATGGAACATCGCGGATTCGGATGCTTATCAAATTCTTAGTAAGCATACTGATCCAGTGTATTCAGTGTCTTTCTCTCCTGATGGTCGTTACGTTGCCACAGGATGTTTTGATCGAAGCATATATGTTTGGGATGTGCAGGTAAACACAAATACTCATTGTGTTTCTATTTTTTTGCGTAGTCTGGAAAACAAGTGATAACATACAACGGAGATAAAGACGAGGGTGGCATATTTGATGTTAATTGGAATAATACCGGTGAAAAAATTGCCGGTGCAGCCAGTGATGGAACGGTTCGTAATGATTAGATATTGGCTGTTTATGCATTGTGAACGTTTTCAGATAATCCTGTTAGATACTCGGTGCATTCGACAGTAAAGTATATTCGACACCTTACTATCAATACATATCTCGCCCCTGGCCATATCAGAATCTCTATTTCAATGAAATCATTCCCGATACTTTATTCGGTGCTGCGTTTCCAACTTTAAGATTTAATCTATGGAAACATTTCTCTGCGTGTTTTTTCAAGTTCTTTGTTTTTCAGGTTTTCTTGCCATTTTTTCGTTTTGTTGGGTTTCTTGTACGGTTTTGCTATCATGAGGTTTTCAATTATCTGATTCGTTCTTTAGCAGTTCATCTATTTATATTTTTAAATATTTCGCATTAACCATATATTAATACCGGCATTGTAAGTATTTATGTAATAAATGTTTTTGGATTTCTAAATCATCACGATGAAGTGTAAGCAGATGGTTTTTGCCGACATTCTCTTTCAGCAAGTCATTTGTTCGTCAAGTTATGACAAGATAGCATAGCCTGCAGTGTTGAAACTTCGTCTGACTTGCGTGGTATAAACATAGTAATCCGAAGATTGACAGTATTTGCTCGTGGATCGCCTAGTCAGGACAATGTGTCATGCATAAAAGGGAAGAGTGAACTGACAAATCAATAGAAACAATATACAGCTTTTAAGTGCCCCCAAACGATGTGCTATCAATTTTCACATAATTCACGGCTCACGCGCGAACTCTGCCAGCTAGCGAGCTCGTGTCATTTTTTGAATTGCGGATGTGTCTACCGGTTGCGTTTGTGTCATTTTCTCAACTATGTGTTGATTCAGCTAAACTTCTCATCTTTTTGTCAATTTTTTTATTGATTTTAATTGTTTTCTTGAAACGCTATGGTTATTCGATTATAAAGTTATGTGACAGTGATTAGTAATGAGTGAAATGAGTATTGGAAAAGTAGACTTTTATTACAACGAGACACCAGGAAGCAGTCCGACAAATTCCAAGGTGATGACAGCATAACGGCAGAGAGAGAATGAATAGACAGTTTACTGGGTTAAATCAGGTTGTTAATTGTCTTTTTGTTTATTCCATTTTTTGCTCCATTAGATGAATTGATAATTGATTCGACGGGTTGTGTCTGTGACAAGTGACAGCTAGTGCAACTCCGAGTTTTCTGAACTTCTTCTTCTTTCCTAATTTTAGTTTGACAACTTCTTTTAATAGATTGATCTGTTTTTCCACAAAGTTCTTTGTAATTTACTTAGTTCAACATGCACGATGATAATAGCTTGATGGAAAGAGAACCGCATGTTCATTGCTTTTCAACATTTCTTCGAAGTCATCCCTTCATTCCTCATTTTACACTGAAAATTACTTATTAAAGGTTTGTTTGTGTAAGACGGCTAATTAAATGAATTATTTGTATACCTCTTGGAGAAAACTCATGTTTTCCATCTTGCTTCTTCTCTGAAGAATCGCTTGCATCGTTTCGTCTCTGATACTTGGAGATCAACTCTATCACTTGACTTTCTAAGAATGTCTTTTTTTAACCAAATCTTCAATCATTTTCCTTGTTCTTATTAACGTTATCCGTCCGGGATAAGCTCAAAATCGATTCGTTTGGATCAGCGGAATGAGAGCCGATGAGTGACATCCAGTGAGAGAGACAAGGTGTACTTTACAAAGGAATTTCTTGCTCAACGTTTGATTATAACATCTTCGCAATCATTTTTTCAAACCTTATCTGACTTTTGTTAAACAATGTTTATCGCGACATAGCGACTGTTTTCCATTTCTACATTTACAATGGAATTTGTGTTCACTATTCGCTTTACAGTTTCAAATCTCGAGTAGAGCTCTCATTCTTGAAGTCGTTTTCCATCTGATGGAAAGCAGCGCCTACTTTTTTGGAGAAGAACACACTGTCTGTCATAGCTCAATTCATGTGGCCGTAAGTTTCATGCAATACTCAAGCAACACACTATGAATTACAGTTTGGAGCGAAGCTCATCCTCCTGTTTGAAACATTTATATTATTCAGCTATGTCATAGCATTACCTTTGACAATTGGCTATTTCGACACCATAGCAGTTTTCCAATTATTGTTTTGCGGATCAGCCTTAGCATTAGCGATATTAGCTATTGTACGTAAGAAACATCGTTTCTTATGGCCATTCATTATTCTGAAGGTGAGCTATGAACAGAGATTCAAAAAGAATATACCATTGCAGGCTTGTGAAGTAGTAGCTTATGTTATGTTGTTCGTCTTATCATTCATGTTGGCATTAGTTAAGCCTTCTCTGTTTTTGCATTTGACGAGATGGAGGCTGCGTACTGTCACACGTAAGTTTACGACCAAATTTGCACATTGACAGTTATTTTTAGATGATAATGAACTAATCCATATAGTCGGAGTTATATTTTTTTTTCTTTTTCACTTCATTTACAGCGGGCTTGCTCTTCATATCATTTATAATGTTTATGATTACTTCCGTAATCGGACTATTTTCATATATTTTGAACACCGTCGGAATAACACTAAATACTTTATGTAAAGTTCTTCTCGTTCCATCCAAAAAAACATTCTGTGAACTACGAATTCCATTTTTATGTCATATTTTATTAAAATTTAATAACTTTCTTGTTCTATTTCCATTGTGGGCTCAACTTCTATTCGAACTGTCCGAGAAACACTCGGCACTGATGATACGGTTGTGGCGGTGGTCGAACCTTCCGCAGGTGTCATTGTACGTGTTGGAGATTCGACAGCCTTAATCATAGTATGTCTATTGATTTTCAAAATTTGTCTCATCTGCTGATTAGCATACGCGCGCCGTAATCTAAGTGCGTCTCATTTATTTGAATTTTGGGATGAGGAACGGTTGCATTAAAAAATATACCGAGTAACGATGAATATTCTGAGAAATCGCCCGTTGGTTGATGGGAGATTTCTTCGATCGAAATCGTCGTCGAGTTCTTGATGTAATTAGATCGTCATCATCTTCCCAGAAACGCTTCTGTTCTTAAATAAAGGGTTTGATGTTATTGAATTCGAGTAATATTTACGTTTTCGGATCAAATTCATGAGGAAATCGCGTATTGGCTGAAGACGATGGTCATATCTGGAACACAAATTGTAGGTTCTGATAACTCGATTAGGCATTACTTGACTAATATCCAATCAACCCATCGAGGATTTGGACACATCCTAGGCGAAATAATCCAAAAAGCAACAGATACAGTTGTACCAACAACTGATAGTAATGCCAAGTAAAGACCAAAGTTATATCTGAATTTGCGAAAGCTGCAAAAACAAAGAGTGGATAGAAGAAAGTACCTGTTTATATCAATGAGAGATAGAACGATTCCTGTGATTCCAAGAATTATGCAACCGAATGTTATCAAACATGCATAGAACATTTCTAAAAAAAGAATGCGTAAGTTTATTTGTCTGTATGAAGAGACAATAACTTCATCAGAACTCTCTTTGGACGGGTCAATAACTAAACCAATTACTTTAATATTATTTGATTCATTTTACGGAAATAGAAGAGGATATGCGAAGAAAAGGACGGAGGCAACATATGAATGACGAAGTATTGAGAGAGACAGACAGAGGGAGCAACTGAGGTGAAATACATTAGGAGAAGCTTTTGCGAAAGCACAACATGGAAATAAAGGAGATATAGATTGAGAGAGACTAGCGTCTTATAAGAGATACAAAGACAAAAAATCACATCTTAGAGTTGCGAATTACTTCCAGGTTGACTCCGCCGGGAACCGTAAGAGAGGATGAGGAAAGAAGAACTATAGATGACTCCGGCCTAATGCTGCGCTCCGCGTGAGCAACAGCTAGACGGAATTAGAAGAAGGATTAAGCCAGCCGGATTAGAAATCCTTCATTTTAACACATTTTTGTTGAATCGGATAGTTATTGATTGAGATTCTGAGAGTTCATTTCCTTCTCATCCAGGAAAAGTAAAATGAGTTATAAATAATTTTATTGAAAAAAATATAAAAATTTGATACCCATTGAATCAACTGAGATACTTTTGTTTTGCAAAAAAGGAAAGAAGTTCATCAAATTTCTTGAGCGAGAAGCTATTTTTGTGAGAATTCAGTTTAATTTTATATATAAAATGATTTTGTCAAAGCATAACAACAGATGAGGAGTCAAGACATGGGTTAGCACAGCCGGCCTCAGGGTCCAACATAGTTTCTCTGGTCCTCGATGGACGCATGCCTATCCTGAAAGTGAAGTTTAGCAAAATTGGAGACGAACAGAACGAACTTTTTTAAATCACCTAGGGCAATGACGTCTTCATCGTCATTTTCGTCTGACAGTTCCTCTTCATCCCATCTATTGTATCTCTTGTTTGGGACAGTCACATAAACACCCATATTTGTACTTAAAAGAAACTTTTGAACAAAAATGAAGTGAAAGATATATACCTGCAACAAATCATGGCAATTGCACATATTATAAGAAAGACGACTAATAGAAAAAGAACGAGCTCCACAATAGACCAATGGTATGTCCAACTCTCTTTGTGAACTGAAATGAGTCCTCATTAGTTCATTTTGATTTTGGTCTGCGCGTGAATCGGTTGGTCAGCTGGTCCTTTTAAGATTATTTACCAAAACTATCCAAAAATAAAAAAACGAACCATTTAGGTGAAATGAAAGCATGAACGAGGAATATGTGAGCATTTCGTTGAGGAATTTGGAAGCAAAAAGAAGGCTGAATAGACAAGAAATCCTCTAACGAGGGAAATGACGTTATAGCAGAGAGTGAGAGAGCACAGGCAGTCTTAGCGGTCATTTCGGAATTCATTTTTTCTCTTTTTGAAACACTTGAGGCAGATGGCAGAGATTTTGTTTTGAGGGACGTAAAAGTACAGACATGGTATGTTTTTAAAACTTACACTGGCAGAATGGGCCATGAAACGGAGAGATACATTCACATCGATGTCCAGACATAGTATCAAGGCATTTACCATCGTTCAAGCAGGGAGTGGATAAACAAGAAGTTACAAATTCTGAAATACACGAATGAGAAGCAGGAAGAGAGAAGCATGAACTCTTTAGTGGCTTACCAAATGAGTTTAAGAGGTACATTTTGGTCAAAGCATACATAGACTATACCATATATCTTATTATCCCAGTCCGAAATGAAATTTATAAAAAAATGGTCAGGGAAGACAAACGAATTAACGAATGAGAATGTTTTTCATTGAAGAAGATCTAATTTTAGAGCTTAATAAGGAGTTACTGAGTAGAAAATGATGCTGAAAGTTGAAGAAGGCGAGTTTCAGCTTACATCACCATCAATCCCATGTGGTTTATGCAAAAGACAATCCATATTCAGACATATATAAAAGGACAGAAAACATTGAGATTTATTCCTTTGAAGGATAATCACAAGAAAACAAGAAGCGAAAGAATAAGTTGTCAGAAGAACAGAAATCTTCATGAAATTGGACTATGGAAGAGGCTTGCTTATTTATGCTTCCTAAAAGGGAAAAAGCAACTTTCAGTTTAAATTGCTGAATAATCAAGCACACAGTTCTAAGAATGTCTAACAGCAATGTCATCAGATGAATTATTCTCTTTATAAAAGAAAGCTTATCAAATTGCGAATCAAAAAACGCAGATACAGCTTCCTCATTGACGTGCGTCAGTTGAGGATGATGAATAAGAAGCAATCGTATATAGGCTATTACAAATCCAGTGAGCGTCAGAGCAAGAGACACAACTCCATTATGAAAAAATTTATTCAACTTTTTGCATTTTTTTCGCGTCTTTGTTTTGACAACTTAAAGTATGAGCTTTTCGAGAATTATTTTGTCAATTCATATTCCAACGTGTTTAGAAGACAGAAGCCAAAGAACCACATTTTCTATTTTTTATGGAATATTCAGTTTATTTTTTGTAGGAAAAAAAACATTTTTGGTGGAAAGAAGAAGATTTTTCATGTTTTTCGAAACGGGGTGAGAATGTCTCGAAACGAATAAGAATGATCAACTTGAAAATCGAATAGAGAGGACAAGTGATTGAAGCTCAACAACGTCAATAAGCTAAGTGATGAAGCTGCTTGTTACACGGCTTCCAAATATGTTTTTAATATTTTGGTAAAAAAATAACAGTGATTTCTTGACGAAAAAGTTGGAAAAACATAGTTTTGGGGGTTGAAAGTGAGCAAAGTTGAGCATGGAGCATGTAAAGCGAAGTGAGGTGAAGTTGATCAAAAAACAAAAAATGAAATGAAGCATAAGAAGAGAATGAATGATAGTGAGTAAGTAAAAACTTTGTTTGGAAGAAAGCTTTTGTCTCATTTGATATAACGTTTTAAGCTGATTCCGGTGAATTAAGTTGTTTCCAAACAATTACTTAAAAAACAATGATTCGGAGAAAGAGGGATTCTTAATATGCTGGAATGACTGGAATGCAACCGCTCTTCATACATATCTTCAAAGAAATGAAATTTCTAAACATCTCACGTAAGTTCCACGTGAGCTAATTAGCATAAATGCATATACTAACGAGATCATTCTAACAAGTTTGTTACGTAAAAATGGTTATGGAAAGGAAAAAAACTGCTTTAATGGCTGAAAATTGGAGGGAATTTCGTGCTCAAAGAGGCATAAGGATGAGAAGATTGCTTGAAAAGTTTGGTGGAGGGGCGCACAAAGCGAACAAGGGAATTCCATATAATAGAAAAACGTGTTTCACCCCCTCCCCCCTGGGCCTCATAACGTCATCAAACTCTAGGATGTCAGTTTAAAACAAAAAAAAATTAATTTTTTTTCTAAAAAAGGAAATAAAAACATGTAATGAGGCTTCTTCTAAGCTTTCCTCTTCATTGCTTTCAAGCACACGATAACTGTTTCAGACCGACAAAGGAAGAAAAAGCGTTTGTTTTACCTTTGAAAATGGGTGAACAGTTATAGCTTCGACCATTGATCCAGCAATTATCTAAGAAGCATTTGTTTTCTTCACACAAGTCTGATATCTGGAAAAGGAGTCATACGATGCAACAAAAAAGGTATGTGAACCTTTCTTTCGCATTGCTCTCCAGTAAATAAGGGTGGACATTCACATTTGAAGCTTCTAGTACCATTGCTTACACATGTTCCTTCGTTCCAACATGGCCATGAATCACATATAGAACCTTCTGAAATACTTTCAAGCATTTCCCCAGATATCTCTCAGCAACTAAGAAATTTTTAAAATTCAGCCATATAGTTAAACAGAAAATTTATGTTTGCGGAAATTCTAGACATTATATGTTCCGACATGATCCAATAAATGATTTCCCTCGAAGGAACCTTTGACCATCTTAAATCATCAGTCACGCCTATGAAATGATGAGTTGTGGGGTTGATGGATAAGCTTTTTTCTCTTCAATTTCATGTACTTGTTTGAGATATGAAATACAAGAAAAACAAAAAGTTCCTTAAGATTACTCAGTCATTGAAAGAATACGAAAATGTACTTGAAGGAACGGCGTCTTGGAAAAGCCATTAAAAGCCATACGAACACAGAAAATTGAATAAAAAAATAAAGTTATGAGAAGAGAGAAGCTGTTGAAGTTGCTATTGTTGTATGAGACTTCAATTAAGATATTTGAAAGAAGGAAACAGAAAGCGATGGAAACAGAAAGAGAATGAAGAAGAAGAAAAGCTTTGTGAAGACATGGAAACGAGCCAATTCTCTCTTAGTGATTAGTCAATTGAGTGAACAAAAGAATTCTAATACTTACAACAGCTAATAATCTTCTTTAACTTCTTTCATTCAACATTCCAAGTGGATATTCGTTTAGTCATGTCCTTTTACAGATCAAAGCAGTTTGATCAAGCCATTTAGCTGTCTCAGCTATAGCTGTCTCGAGATTTCAAATGAATTTTCAGAGAAATGAGACGAAAGAAAGAAAGACGAAGCTTGACCAAATTCTGCTGAGATTTCGCTTCTCACATACAGCCTTGCACTCTATTTATACCTTCATTCTAGATATTTCTGTCAATTTATTTCAAGCAAGAAAAAAAAAGAAAAAGTTTCTTTTCAATAACTCCGGTCAAAACCATAAATGTCAGCAATTATCTGATCTGACACGAAAGTTAAAAGACTTTTAATGGCTTATTCGTTGTCAAGATATTAAGACAATGTAGTTATGACAACTATATACTTTCTCATAAAATCACATGTTATTCATAAAAACTCAAAGTAAACTTACCATAGATTAAGCGCGAAGCAACGCCGTTGATAAGTTGATCCGAAGCTATCGTTACGAGACCCATACTAAGTGGCGCAGAACCTTCTATGAATTACGAACTAGCATCAACCTGACTGGTGAATGAAAAAAAAATAAAAATAGTCAAAACAACAAAACAAGAAGAGAAAATCATTGAATGAAGTTCAATTAGCTGGAAATTGAAAAAAAAAAAAGGAGAAAAGGAAGAAATGAGTTGCCAGTATTGAGAAACTGTTGAGAAAATAATTTTAGAGGAAAAGGAATTAGATAAGAAAGAAAAAAGATAGAAGAAGAGGCGTGACAGCTTGCTAGCCAGTATAAGGATCTTTAGGGGAGAACATAAAAAAAGAAAAGCAGAGGGACTCCGCCCCGTTAACGTGTTCTCCTTCTTAATTTAGAATATGCTAATTGAATAAGGACGGAACATATATGGAAAGCATATAATATAGTCATATATATAAGAGATAAACGAGACAATTTCAAAGATGAATGGAGTTTCAACTGAAGAACACATAATACAATGAAAATAAAGTGAGAATAAATGCAATTCCAATCGAATAAAAGCTTCGAAATAAGATGATGGTCAAGTGAAAGGAGGTAAGTGTGTTTATACGAATTCAACTTTAAAGAAAATACGAGATAAAGTGAATGCTGAAAAAAAATATTGAAAAGCTTAACTAGTTGAACAAGCAACAACCGCTCACATGTCTGACAATTCATGAAATGATTCAAAAATTCATCAGACGTCAAATTGTACGTGAAGCATTAGCATACGGGAGTAAACACGTGGATAAGAATTAGCATAAAGATTCGAGGAAGTAATAGATATGTGGAGAAGAACATTCCTGTACATAGTAATGAAACTGCTTCTGCTCCTGACTAAACAAATAGATCAAAGATATATTTATGCAATTCATATGGAAATATTTTTTTGGAACATTTTTCATGTGGTTGAAATGGAATTCATTCAAGAAAGCAACATATCGTCTTGTTTTTCAGATAGACAGTAGTCGCTTGATGATGATGTCTTAACAATTGTCAATATCATCATCATCTTCCTCATCATCATGAACGTCAGAACAAAAAACACATTTGAGTATGTCCTAGAAGGACAATCGTTTCCTTTTTTTTTTTGAACGCAAAAAAGGAATTCGTGAGAAATACTTTCTCAAAATCTCTCGTCGATCATTTTTGACTTGTGCTTATGATCATTTACATATTCACAAAGGAAACATATTACATTACACGAGAATGAAAGACAAGAACGACAAGGATTATCTCACAACTTTTCCAGAATTTAGAGCAATCAATACGAAAGTGAAGAACACTGACATACCATATTCACCTTAAGAGGTCATACACTCTCTCTCTCTCTTTCTCTATTCCTCTCTCTCTCTCTTTTTGTCTCTCTCTTTCTCCATTTATATAAGAACTAATTTGTTTTTGTAACACAGACAGACAAAAAGAAATATTTTTCAGATTATGCCTCAAATGACGAAAAATGCCAATATAATCACTGGGGAATTGTGTAAGACAAGTATTTCATCTGATAGCCGGAGCTTATTTTCCAAAATTTTCAAAAGAAATTATGGAATTTCAAAGTTTTTGAAAGATTCAATTAACGGACTGGAAGTGAAAAACAAAACGAAGAGTTGTAGTCTTGGGTGGAAAAGCCTTCTTGAAAGGAAGTCATTATTTAAAAGTTTGAAGAAGTACTTCGTAGCAACGCTGCCAGCATCTATAATACTGAAATCATTTACAATTCAAAGGAATTTCATAAAAAATGGATAAATGACAAGCTTGCTTTTGACAATTGTCAATTTGAAAAATCTGATTCTCACGTCTTGTCATCTGGTTTTCCTCTTTGACGGCATGCAGAGTAGTAGATTTGGGTTAAAGGCATGACGAACGACATGAAAATGAGTCATTTATCTTCTGAACAAGAAGATTGAAAATGCAAAGATGAAGTGAGGATGAGGCCGGAGTCGGATTGATGAATTCCTGACCATCAACGAAAGATAGATTGATACATAAAGAGCGAATAGTTTGAAGGCAGAAACACAGATATGTTTAAAAAAAGTGTAAAGACAGACAATTCTGTTCAAGAAAATTTGAAAAATGATGTTTGTGTGATTGATGAAGGCGAGGAGTAGCTGTTGAGGCCATATGAGCTGATGAGGAACAGGGTCTTTGCTTCTTGACAATAGATATTTTGCCTTACTGGAGTATTTTGTAATTATGAGACTGTGAGCTGAGATTCGTTGCCTACTGTGATTTTCCTAATCACCAATAGAACAGAAGATCATTTAGGATTGCATAGCTTTCCATGTTAGTGTAGTGTTTGACTCATCACATTGCTTTATCAGTCAATACATTTCAATCATTTTGTCAAAAACTGATAAGAATAATTATTCTTTCGGGAGATCAACGAAGATCATGTGGACAAAGACTCTTCTCTACTTGGTTTTATGCTATAGCACTTGTATTGCTGATCCAACGTATTGTCCTCGAGCTCATGAAGTTTTCGTCGATTCGACTAGTTTGTATGTTTATTTACAAAAAACAACCTCAAGTTTCGTTGCAGATGTTATTTATTCCAAAATAGTTTGGCTAATTACAACGTCGCCAGAAGACAATGTCAAGATTTAGGATATGAATTGGTCTCTTACCACTCCGCTTATGTAAATCAATATATTGCGAGTAATAACAAGCTCTGATAAACTATCTCAAATCTTGCTCTAGATTATGCG